AGTCTGGGGGGGTGTGTCGGAATATAGAGGTTCCTTACCGAACAATACCAACTGATGCCTGATTGATGCCTTGCTGATATCATATGGCGCAAAGCAGCGTATTTACTCTGCTATTACTGCTTTTGAAACCGCACAATCGCTTAGTATACTCTATAAGGTATTTACGGTCGTATATAGGATCCTAGATAGCACACTTTTGCAAGAATCAGAGACCTCAACCATATACGCTTGATACGTACTTTCAACCCTGACTAAGCCACATTTCCGACAATAGAAATCAGGGCACGTGAAAACTGCCGAAGATCCCCCGCAATCGCGGAAGCCCCTCCGCCACCAAAACCAACCCAGAACCAGAGAACAATCTCCCCTCGACCAAGGGTCAGTTTTTTTCTTGTTTTTCTTTTTTAACGCCACTTGAGATTAAGGTCCAAAAGGGGATATCAGTCTTGAACTCTGCAAAAAGAATCCATCTCTGCCATCGCAACTATAATGAACATGGTGCGGACAAAGCGACAAAACACAGCTGCGTTGGAGGATACGTCCGTCGCGCCAGCGACCTTCAACGATGGCCTGCCTTTGCCAAAGCTGATTGCGTTTGATCTGGATTACACACTCTGGCCGTTCTGGGTAGACACACATGTCAGCGCTCCTGTGAAGCCCCGCGATAACAATTCGCGCTGTGTGGATAAGTATGTTTTTCGCTTTGTCGCTCTTTTCGAGACCATCGACTAACTGGCAATGATAGATGGGGCGAATCCTATGCCTTCTACCCAGCCGTCTCCTCCATAATCCACGCCTGCAAAACCCGCTCCATCCCCCTGGCCCTCGCATCACGAACCTGCGCCCCCGACCTCGCCCGCGACCTCCTCAAAGCCCTACACATAATCCCCACCTTCACCGACAACCCAGCCGCCAACAAAACACGCACTGTTCGCGCCCTCGAATACTTTGACTACGTGCAGATCTTCCCGGCGACCAAGACACAGCATTTCGCACGTATTCACCAGGCGAGTGGAGTTGCATATGAGGATATGTTGTTTTTCGATGATGAGGCGAGGAATCGGAATGTTGAGACGGAGTTGGGGGTTACGTTCACGTTGGTTAAAGACGGGATGACGAGAGAGGAGGTTGATCGGGGGGTTTGGGCTTGGAGGAAGAGGAATGGTATTAAGCCCGGGCAGAGGAGGGATGAGGAGTAATTATTTTCATGGGGGATTATAGGTTTTTGATTTTGTATTTATGTTTGACTTGAGATACCCATGTGGGAATTGAGTGCCGTGGTACGAGATAAGAGATTCTTATCCTTATTCTATCCTTCTCCGACTCCGCAACCTCCGCTCCGCACCATCAACACAACACGACACGACTACACCACCACCACCATCACCATCACCATTACCACGCATCCATCCTAGAAGAAAAAGAGAAACGAAATGGAGCGACCCTCCCAACACCTCAAACCCCCGTCCACCCATCCCCACGCCCACTCCCAACACCGCACCTCCACAACCTCCTCCCCCCGAGCCCCAGTAACCGCCCACCCAACTGCCACAATCGCAGACACAACCGTCTTCCAAGGAACCCACCCCATCGCCATCGGCGCAGAAACAGTCATCCACCCTCGCTCCCGCATATACTCCTTTGACGGCCCTGTGCTCATCGGCGAGGGATGCATAGTCAGTGAGAAGAGCACGATTGGTGCGGCGCCGGTGGCTTCGCCGGTTTCTTCGCCTACGATTGGAACTCCAGCAGGAGGGAGGGAGGGGGTTCCTACGCGTATCTCGCATAGTGTGACTGTGGCTCCGCTAGCGACTATTCTCCCTGGCGCACATATTCACTCCTCCGTGTGCATTGATAGTCTAGCGACCGTCGACCGCCGCGCGAATATCGGTGCGCACTCAAAGGTCTGCGCTACGTGCCATGTTCCCGCCAAAGCTGTGATTAGGGATTGGACGGTTGTTTGGGGGTCTGGGGCTGGTTTTGGACAGAGGAGGAAGAGAGCTACGAAGGCTGCTACGAACACGGGCTTGGGGACTGCGGTGCCGCAAGGGCAGGTGTTGGAGGGGAAGGTGATTGAGGATGCGAGGTTGGTAGTTTTGAAAAAGGAGAGGGAAGCGTTAATTAGGTTAATTGGGGCTCCGACGGCTGGATCGAGGAGGAGGTAATGCTCTTTTGGAGAGCTGCTTGATTTATGATACCATTTTCTATGTCTTTCTGTTCATATACCCTGTCATAGCATGAGAGAATAATGCATCTAGATGAGCCCACTGAAGGATTCAAGTATACTACAACCAAAAAGGTCTCCTCGATTTTAATTTGGAGAAAGTAATTAATACATGCAACCAGAATCCAAGCACAAATGCCATAAATCACATAAGCCACAAAGGAGAAAATAACTTGAAGATTTTTAGGTCAGAGTATGCAAAACAAAAACACATTTGTAAGCAAGTCAGAAGAGAAAGAAGAATAGAAGATATTAAGAAAAAGCTTCAATAATGCAACACATCAAGATCCTCCTCGATTTCCATGTCCACCACCCCTCATTCTCTTTCCACCAGCTCCGCCTTCATTACCAGCATCGGCCCCATCTTCTCTAGCACGCTTGTTACCCTGCGGAACGAATTGGCGAGCAGCGGCGTTCATATTACCCCGGTTCGCTTGTCCACCCTGAGCAGCGTTGGCATTCTGAACGTTTTGGTTCCCACCACGACCAGCACCTCCACCCCGTCCACCACGGTTACGGGGAATGCCAGTACCACGCTGGCCCTGTCCTTGAGGTTGTTGTTGCTGCTGCTCGGTTTGTTGTTGTCCGAACGGGTTCTGTTGCTGGCCACCACGCCCGCCACCACGGCCTCCGCCTCCGCCCCTAGCAACAGGGAGACCGGATTGGAGCGCTCTCAGAACGCCAGGAGCAGCATTGTCTTGATTACCTTGTGGTGGCTTATTGGGCAAATTCTGCTGCTGCTTGTTTTGAACCTGACCGAATGGGTTTGGGGGGGTTCCTGCTTGAGGGACTGCTGACGCCGCTGCGGCATCTGCCGGTGGTTGTTGAATTTCCTCTTCGATCTGGCCCTCTTCCACAGGTGGTGCGGGTGCGGGTGCGGGTGCAGCTTGCTGCTGTTGTGGTTGAGGTGGCTGCTGAGGTTGCTGAGGTTGCTGAACCTGCGGCTGCGGCTGCGGCTGCGGTGGTTTTTGCTGTTGCGGCGGTCGTTGCTGCTGAACTGCAGCTGGCGAAGGCGCCGGTTGAGCAGCAGGCGGCACTGGTGTACCCTGTCCAGGAGATGCTGCTACAGGAGGCTTCGCTCCTTGTACCTGAGAAGCAGGAGCAGGCCGTGCCGTCTTTGCCACCTCCCAGACTTCCACGACAGGCTTCTGAGGTGTCTCGTTGGCTGCCTTCTGGACGACGTCGATCTTGGCGTTTGCAGTACGGAACCGGGTATCAAGCATGCTGATTCGAGCCAGAGACTTCTTGTCCGCAAGCTCGACTGCCGACTTAACCTTCTCCTCCAGGTTCTCCTCGTGAGACTTCTTGAGCGCGTCTCTTTCATCGCTGAGCTTCTTCTCCACGGCAGCAACGGCTTCCTGGTTGGGTTCAGCGGACTGCTGCGACTGTGGCTGCGGCGGCGGCTGCTTCTCTTTCTCCTTGGCCATCATATTCCGAATATTGTTCCGTATGATTGTCCGGATTGTTTCGTTCTTCGCAACAAGTTCTCTTGCCTGGGCATCGGTCAAATCAGGAATTCCTCCTTCAGCCTTCGATGGCGTCGACGGAGGCTGTTCAATCTTCGGTCCTGGGGTTCCAGGTTCCTGCTGAGGAGATTGCTGTTGGGCGGCGGCTACCAACCTCTCCACCTCTTGTCTGTGCGCGGCCTTAACTTCAGCCAGTTTATTGTTGTACACCTCCTTCAACTTCTCCGTACGTTCCTTGAGCTTGGCATCGTGCTCGGCATCCTTCGAGGCTATGATGGCATCCTTCTCAGCCAGAGCAGCCTCAAGACGCTGGATTTTCTGCTCAAGAGCCCTAACCCTTTCATCATCTGTGGCAACAGCAACTGGGGCGGTGGTTGTAGGGAACTGGGACGCAGGTGTTGAGTTGACGTTACCATTTGCTTCAGATGCCGGTGCGGCCGGTTCTGCTGGCACGGTTTCTCCAGCAGCTGGCGCAATCTGTGTAGTCGGGATGGTAGTCTCTCCAATCTTAGCCTTGAGCTCGATCAGCTCATTCCTCGTAGTCGTCAATTCCGCTTGGATGGTCTCTTTCTCCTCCACCGCGACGGTGAGTTCCGCCTGCTTGGCGTGAATCCGGCCAGTAAGTTCCTTCGAGCGAGCCTTGAATTGATCTGTAAGTTTGGATCGCAACTCTTGAATTCTGTCTTCGGCCTGTTTAAGTTGCTCGGGGAATGATGTCGTCTGTTCCTGCAGGGTGTCGCGTGTCGTAACGGCCTCGTCGCGTTCTGTAACGGCTTCGTCACGTTCCTTCTGCAATGCCTCAAGTCGCTCCTTCAATCCTTCCATTTCAGCAGGGTCAACACGGTCGTACTTCTGCAGGATGTTCTGGGTACGCTGTTGCCAACGGTCACGGTCTCCCTGCAGAAGCGACATCTCTCCGTCCTTGGTTTCGACAACATTCTCCAGTTCCCGGACCCGAGTCTCGAGAGGCGCGATCTGCTGTACGAGATCATCGACACGAGCAGATTTCTCTTGCAAGGAGGACTCGGCCTGCTTGACTTGGTTGCGTAGGGTAACACTGCTCTCACGGAAAAGGTTCAATTCGTTGAGGGTTTCCATGAGCTTGTTATGGCTCAAAGCAGTATGTTCACTATCAGTAGCAGCACGGCGCTGCTGCTCGAGCTTGAGACGTGTCTCGTCCAGCTGTGTCTGAGTGTAATCGAGCTGCTGGCGCAAGCGCTTGCTCTCTTGTGTGGACAGATGGTATTGCACATCGACGATCTCCTTCTCCCGACGCAAGAATTTGATAACTTCTTGAAGACCCTCGAGATTCGGTGCAGCATTCTCGTCCTCGTCCTCGGGAATACTGGCGCGGTCACGCTGCAAGGCGGAGATCTGATTGGTAATATTCTCGAGTTGGTTGTGGAGCAATGTGTTCTGGTGGAGGACTTCTTCGCGGCGCTTCTGCAGCTCAGTGATCTCACCTTCGTATCTGCCCTTAATCTCGTTCCAACTCTGCTCCTTCTGGGAGAGATCCTTCTTGTACGTCTCGGACTGGGTTCTCATTTCGACCACCTCGAGCTTCAGTTGGCTGGCTTCTGAACGAACAGCATGCAGGTTCTTCGCGGCTTCGGCGTGCTTGACCAATTCAGTTTCGTAATTTTGCTGGGCGTGCTGGGAGATCTCGGCCTGAGCCTTGAGGTCTTCCTGGTGGAACTGCGCGGCAGCAACCTGACGTTCATTCTCATCCTTCAACCGTGTAATCTCTGATTCATAGTGGGATTTCTGCTCTTCAAAGCGACGGGTACCATCGCCCTGTTCGTCGCGGAGTCTGGAAAGCTCGGAGTTCGTTGTAGAAAGCTCAGTGGAAATCTCTTCTATGCGCTTCTCAAGGTCTTGAATCTTCTCGTCCTTCTCCTTGAGATGATTCTCGGTCTCCTCGCGGTATTGTTCGTCGGTCTCGGTGACGGACTGCAAGCGTTCTTCAGTCGACTGGCTGATTGCCTTATAGTCCTCAACCTGCTCCTTCGCGTGCTCGAGTTCTCCTCTGGCCAGATCCAAGTCACGTTTGAGTTCGGCCACTTGGATGCCCAATTCTTGTTCGCGCGTCAAGTCAGAGTCCTGCGCGCCTGGTTCGGGAGCTGCAAGGGCTTCAGCCGGTGCAGCAGCGGAGATGCTATGTTTCTTAGACTGCAAGACCTGGAGACGTTCTTCGGCACTCCGGAACTCAACAGTTAATTCATCGACACGGGTCTGCAGATGATCTCTTGTCGTCTTGGTAGCGACCAACTCCTCGCGAACGGCACTCAAGCTCGTCACCAAGTCATCAATTCGTTTCTGGCTTTGCTCATGCTCGTACTCCCGGCGTAGCCCCGCCTTCTTCGATTCCTCGACCTCGTCATTCAACTTTCGCTTCGTGGACTGAAGCTCGGAGTCGAGAGTTTCAACGCTCAGCTGGAGGCGACGACGGTTCTCGGAGTCAGTGTGGTCACGTTCGTTCATCATGGTCTGCAGGTTTGCGTTGAGCCCATCGAGACGGCTGCGCTCGTTGCGCAACGTCTCGTTGTCCTCGATAAGCCTCCTCTCAATACTCTTCCACAATTCCTTCTCGGCCTTCAAATTTGCGCTTTCACGTTGGAGGCTGTCAACAAGTCCCTTGGCCTCAACGAGGTCTTCAGCCGCTTGCTGGGTCCTAAGGTCCTGACGGTTGGCGTTTTCGAAAAGAGTGCCGTATCGTTTCTGGAGCTCAGAGTTTTCACTCTTGAGCATGTTGAAGTTGCTCTGGAGAAGCTCGGCTCGCTGAGATGCGGCAGCAAGCTGGCTGCTCGACCGGCTGATTTCGCTCATCAATTCACTGTTCTTCCGCGACAGTTCATTGACTTGCTGCTTCAGAGCTGTGTGATCCGTAGCGCTTTCCTCGCGGAAATTGTCAAAATGCGCTTGCACCTTTCTCAACAATTCGGCATAGTCGGGCCCAGATTGGTCCTCAGCGCTTGGGGGCACAGCACCAAGAGGAACTGACTGGGAGAATGCGGACGAGTCGCCGCCAACGGTCTGGCGTCTACGAGTAAGCATGCTTCGGAAAGTGTCACGCTCTTTCACGTAGCTCTTCGTCTGAGCAACGAGGTTGGCGATTTCATCGCGGTAGGTCTGCACCCTGATTCTCAATTCCTTCAATTCCTCCTGCTCTTGCTGGCGGACAGCATCCTGTTCACGGGCTTCAGCGCCTTCCATCTTGTCACCAAGCTCCCGGAGCATGCGCCTGAGGGTGACGTTCTGTTCTTGAAGGTCGTAGAGATCCTTGAATGTCGTCAAGTTTCGGCTGATGAAGCGTCCTGTTGGGCTGAGCTCGGCAGTCGACTCGTCTATCTCGTTGCGGGCAATCTTTTCGAGTTCTTCACGGTCGTAGGCCTCGCCTTCCTTCATGAAGGCCACCTCCAGAACCAGAACCTTGACCTGGGAACTTAGGTCTCTCAACTGCTGTCGCAGAATATCGCCCTCACGAGCCAATCCTTCAACCTGGCCCTGCCACTTCCGTTGCCCCTTGGTCGCATCATCTCTCTCCTTTCCGGCAGATTCCAGGATATTCGACATTTCAACGACGGCGTTCTCGAGTCGCGCGTGATCAGCTCGCAATTCATCGATTTCGGGCTTGCTCGATTCAAGATCCTGGACCATCTCGTCCAAGGTAGATCGGAGTTCTTGGCTGTTCTTCTGCTCTGCAGCAAGCAGGGACCGCATCTTGTCGTATTCCGTGTACATCTGTGTGAGTGTAAGACCGCCCTTTGTCCGCGAAGTTCTAGGCGAGAAAGCGCCGACAGGTGTTCCGGAGCGAACGGGTGTGCTGGGTCCTCCATTGAGACCACGGGGAGCTGGGCTCATAGATCTCCTGCTGACAGGTCCTTCGGATTCGAGTTGATTAACGGTCATCTCAAGCTCCGCAACACGACGCTCAGCAGCTTCCTTGTCGGAATGTTCAGTTTCGATCTCGACGCGAAGGCGAGAGATCTCCTCCGCAGCACTATCTTTCGCCTTCTCCAAAGCCAACTGACATTCTTGCACTCGTTGTTTAGCTGTTCCAGCAGAGTTTCCCTGGAGCTCAGCCAGTCGGTTTGCGCTATCCAACTCAATGCGGAAAGATTCGGCGGCCTGAATTGCCTCCTCCTTCAGCTGGTGAATACTCGAAAGCGACTCTTCGTAGCGTTGCTCAACCTCGTCCAGGCGGCTCTTGAGGTTGTTCTCACTGCGTCTCATAGAGTCGATGTTCGCACTGGCCTCCTCATTTTCACGTTGAAGTTCCGAGATCCGGGCACTCTTTTCCTTACGGAACCTAAGGTACTCTGCAGATTTCGTCTTCAGTTCTGTCTCGAACCACTCATTGTTTTTCTTTGTCAGTTCTAGCTCTTGCTGAAGACTCTGTTCACGAAAGCGAGTGCTGGCCGAGGAAGAGTTGGCGGACTGGAGGTTTTGCTCAGCAGTAGAGAGCTCCCGTCTTAGTTCGATGGTCTTCTTGTGTTGTGTCGAAAGTTCTTCGGCCAGCTTGTCGTAGGCGGCAGTCTTGGACTCAAGAAGGGAGAGAGTATCGCGGTTAGAAGCTTCAAGCGAAGAGATTCGAGATTTCAGACTGCTGGCTTCGGATTCGTTGGACGTAGATGACGACTTGAGCGTAGCGATTTCGGATTCCAAGGATGATCGGGCGTTTTCTGTAATGCGTTAGACAAAAGCCAAAAAGGCATCATAAGCGCCATTGATAGATACCTGATTCATGCAGCTTCTTCCTAGTTTCCTCGACTTCCACATGACCCTTCTCGACCGAGTTTTTCAGGACCTTGATCTTAGAGTCGGTGCTCCGTATAGCATTCTCGAGCTCTACCTCCAAGCGAAGCTTGTCAGACTTGAGCTCATCATTTTCATGGGCTTTATTGGCGATGGCCTCCAGCAATTGATTGACCAGTTCCACCGTAGGAGCTTGCGTAAGGGTAGAGAGGGTCGACTCGGAGATCGAATAATGCGAAGAGAGGTAGGGTAATTCGACTGTCGCAGTAGCCATGGTGGCTATCTAGCAGCTAGAGCAGAGCACTGCTCAGCTTTCCGGCGTTTGGAATTCGATTATATCGCAAAATAAAGGAATGGGAAAGGTAGGTAAGGTGAGCTAGCTCGATCGATCGAGTTCGTCGCGTGTAATGCGCACTGCTTCAGGATAAGTGCACACAACGCTGGCGGAATCTTAGGACATGACTGGGTTCATGAACAAGGTGAGTATAAATTAGAACAAACGACAGAGGGAAAGGCGAAAGAAGATCCCCTGTCGAGTGATGTGTTAATGGTTGATCAATTCAAAGGGCGTGAGGCGCTCTGGCTTTGGGCGGTTGCTTTCTCCCAACGCGGTTAGCGCGGTTAGTTGCCACGTGATTTCTTCTGCCTTTCTTTCAAGGCCGTCACCTACTTTCGTATCCTTTGCCTCCAAACAATCACCTTTTTACCTTTTTCTTTCGGCGTTTATGAAACTTGGGTGATAAAAGAGCCCTTAAATCCACTCGCTGGCTCAGATGACTTATATTACCCTATAATAAGAGGTCTTTTCTCGTTCGCTCGAGGCAAGACCTCGTCCTTGCTAGCGGCTTCCTATTCCCTTGACGTCTCCACGCACCTACGAAATACCCTTTCCTTCCACTCAGTGAAGACATTTTAAAACCCTCCAAAATGTCGCACCTTCAACAGCAGCTCAAGAGCTTCAACGCCGGTGTCATGGACTATGCGCAGAAGATGCCGCAGCAGCGACGCTTCATCCACAACGGCAACTCCACAAACACGTCGCAAGCACCGTCCTCAGCAGCATCGATACCCACACCCAGCATCGACCCGAAGCGTAAAAGGCACGATGTGGACATCGTCTACTCGCAACCCGCCAACACCGGCACGGGTAAAGATATCATGACGCAGGTGTTTTTCGCCATCGAGCACATGAAGAATAAAGGCATCCCGCTCAAGTTCTCGGACATCGTCTCATATCTCTCCCTCCAAAACCGTGCGCATGATGAGGGTTATATTCAAGCGCTGCGGAGTATTCTGCAGGTGCATGAAAAGGTGGAATTTGACCCGAGTGGTGCGAATGGGGAGGGCACGTTTGCCTTCCGCCCACCGCACAATATTCGCTCCGGTGAACAGCTTCTGCAGAAACTGCAGGCGCAAACTACGGGTGCGGGAATGAGTGTCCGGGAACTACGCGAGGGTTGGCCGCAGGTGGAAGAGGCGATCAACAAGCTGGAGAAGGAAGGGAAACTTCTTGTGACACGGAATAAGAAAGACGACCATGCTAAGATGGTTTGGGCAAATGACCCTTCGCTTATCATTCATTTTGATGACGAGTTCCGTCAAATCTGGGAAAAGATTCGGATTCCGGATCAGCAGACTGTCAAGGAGGAATTGGAAAAGGCCGGTATCACGCCGACAAGCAAAAACAAGGTCGTCAATGCACGGCCAAAGATCGAGCATAAGAAGGTCAAGAAGCCCCGTCGTAGTGGAAAGACGACCAATACCCACATGATGGGTATCTTAAGAGATTACTCTCATCTTAAGCGTTAATCGTTAATCAGGCCTTGTGTGTACCATATTAGCCATTTATTCATAAACCGCGAAATAAATACCCAATAAATAGAGATTGCCAGAATTACATCTTCGTGTTTAGTATCGCTAGAGCTTTGGCCTGGAATAACTTGCTGTCATGTACATTCTAGCTAGCCGTCTATGTATTCCTCAGTGCATGGTACTCCGAACCAAAACTAAGATAAAATGAAATGAACATGAAATAGACACACCCAGCAGAAATAAAATGAGATATTTAATCACGAAGCACCAGACACACAAGGAGAAGGGCATGTAGTACGCGCAGCATCAACCCAACTCAATGCTTCCCATTAACAGGCGCAACCAATTTCCCCTCTGTCCTCTCAATATACTCCACCAAATCCTCAATCGTACACACCTTGATCCCCCACTTCTTCCCAAACCGCAAACACCCATCCCTCCTCATCATCCCGTTACTCCCTCTCATCTCAGCAACCCCCTCAACCATCTCCCCATCCTCAACCAACTCTGCAATAACACCCACAGGGTTCTTCCCTGCCAATCTGCACAGGTCAACAGCAGCCTCGGTGTGTCCCGTCCGCTCGCGCACGCCGCCGGGCCGCGCGCGCAGAGGGATGATGTGGCCCGGGCGCCGGAAGTCTTCGAAGCAGGCGGTTGGGGAGGCGAGGGTGCGACAGGCGAGGGAGCGATCCTGGGCAGAGATGCCAGTTGTCACGGAAGGGTCGCTGGAGTCGATAGATATGGTGTAGGCGGTACCCTTGGGGTCGGCGTTGTGGGTGACCATTTGGGGGAGGGAGAGGCGGTCGGCGATTTCGGGGGTGATGGGGGCGCAGATTAGGCCACTGGCGTTGGGAGTAATTTTAGTATGTGTTCTTTCCATTTGTCTCTGGTTCATGGCGTGGGTTGTCTGTAAGAATGGGGGAGGCCAACCTTGTGAACCGGACGAGGAATGCCATCTGGACATCGGTGACTGATTCCGCAGCGATGATGAGATCACCTTCATTCTCGCGGTCTTGCGAATCCAGCGCAATGATAAACTCTCCTCTCTCTGTGAGAATGGCATGTTAGCATCCTGGCTGTCTTCTCGGAAGTCCGCAACGGAGTCTCGGGGAGGCATGGAGCGTAGACTCACCGAAAGCTTCGACAGTGTCTTCGATCGGGTCGAATTGGAGAACGGGGTCAGATGACGAAGAAGGCATATTGACTGTTGAGGTGTTGAGGATCAATGGACAAGAGTGTAGTTGTAGTAACTTTTTTTGGTTTGCCCCTCGGCGTGGATGTGAAGATGTCAAGCGGGGCTATCGATTATCTCGGAGGTTTTGCTTGACAGTTAAAGATATACTATTCGAAAAGAAAGATAGAATCGCGGTGTGCTGAATTATAACAACCTCAAGGAATTGAATTCCTTTTTATACAGGTACAGAAAAGAGCTATAGTGACAATATGGGATGATAGTCGCAAACTCCAGTCCCTCGGCGGCAAATCGCTATCAAAATCGCCCCGTCCCTGTAAAGCCGGAACCGTGAATGTCTGTCTGATATTGACAGTCGCGCACAATTAACATGCGAAATAGTCGAAACCACTGCGCAGTCTGCAATGATGATGCAGCAACACCCCCTGCAGATCCAGAATCGTGAAACAGTTGATCTCGATCCCGAGTCTGCCAGATATGAGATTGCCGGTTTCGGGAGTGTGGGGGAAGGTTTTTAGTAGAGGGTGCGTACGCGAATGCGGTGGGATTTACATGGACGGGCTTTTCGCTTGGTATTACTATTATTAATGGGAGTGGTGATATTCTGGTTCTCGTGGGATTCGGTGGGATAGTCCGTGGTCTTGTGTTTATAGGATGTGGCGGCTGTCAGTGTTGCGTGGACACCACATGGTATCAACAATAGCGATGTCCAGGGGCTGTCTCTTTGGTCTGGATTGTATGGTAGATTCAGGAAGGTTTTCCAACGCCAGTTCTTGTAGTCTATCTATGCAAAGGTAAAAATGCTTAACATATATAAACTCCACATCCAACCAAAGAAACGAACGGAAGGAGTCATCATAAACCAAAATCTCCCATCCGACGGACTTCATCAGCCTGGGTCTCCAATGCCCTGCGCATCGTCCGGGCATACTCTTTCTCGCGTCGCAGCTGCTCTCGTCTTTGTTCCCGTACCACCCCACGCGTAGTGCTGTCAAGTCCCTCATCAATAGATATATAGTCTTCTTCATCCCCCTGGTCAAGGTCCGGCTCCGCGATCCCAGTAAATTGAAGACGTCCAATTCGCTCTCCGGTCCAGATGAGTAGCTCATCGCTTATCAAACTGCCCCCTGTAGGCACAACTTTCTGGACAACTTCATTGTTACCACGTGAACTGGCGAATAAACCGCCCATATCGGAGTTGTCTTCGTCCGACTCCCCAGCTTCGGCTCCAGAATTGGCCATGCGTTGGTTTGTTTTCATATCTGACAGATGAGTGTTTATATTCCAACGACGGACTTCGGAGCGTCCGTCCCTCTCTGTCCATTTGATATTGCCATCTGCGTCGGAGTAGACAATACGAGCACCGTGTGATGCAACAGACAGTAGCTTTGACCGAGCAGCACTCTGACGGTTTTGATATGCCGCCGAAGAAAGATTGGAGGACACGTCTGACGGCGTGAGATCATAAAGCTCCAGCGAGCCTCTACCTTTGTATTCCCCACAAGCAACTATCTTTTGCAGATCCGACCCATTCGAATCCGAACGCACCGGAAATCGTGGAGAAGGCGCTGAAGCAAGATCGCATAGACTGCCACCAGAATGAACAATGTTCTGCAAACGAGGGAAGAACCGACGATCATAATGCAAGATGCCAGGAAAGCGGCCAGCGACAAGAATCGTGTGCTCATGTAAAGACGGGGGATGTAGAACAGACAAGGGATTGGGTTGTAATAACGATGCGTATGTAGCATCAGTTTCCGCATAACCTGATGCAGACAACCTAGGATCATGGACATAAATATTCAACCACGTAGCCAGCGTCAATGGTGCTGAATAGTCCGTTTCTTGCGATAAAGCAAAAACAGGACAAGGATAGCACCGCTGCGTCACCACCTGAAGTGTTTCCATATCCACTTCGTTTAGGACGTTCCCGACGGCCATATATGCCCGTTGACGGACAGAGTCCACGCTCACGCATTCTCCCAGATTCAGAAACTCCGATGGTGATTCTTCCGAGGCAGAAGCCGTTAGAATCCCCGGGGCACTGACACCAAGGACTCTACCCTTGATAGACTGAGGTGCAGCACTGTAGGAATGGTTCAAATCCCATATGCAAACACTACCATCTTCCAATGGCGCAATCGCTTTGTCCTGCTCTGAGGAACTCCAGTCTCGCAGCAAGCCAATTCCTTTCACCTCCGGGGTCTCTTTCTTATTGCTACCAGGTCTCTTGATAGACGGCTGCTGTAGCCAATTGAAAGAAACCGGCCCATGTCTATCCCTGTATTCCGAATACCAATCAATTTCCTCCCTCTCGTACGACGGGTCCCAAGCAATCGCTGCTCTCGACCTTTCTGCGAGCGAGGATACGGTGCGTCCGTCTGGACCAGTCTCGTATGAAGATGTACTATGCGGTTGAATCAAGGAAAGAAGAGATTCCTGCCCAAGCGAGCTGAGTGACGGCGTCGGATTGCCAACGAGGCTCGTAGTTGTCTCCACGAAGCGGGGTCGGGACGCCTCGATATTAGCCCATGATTGCTCGTAGCAGTGAAGTCTCCAAAGGGTATTATCGCGAGCGAGAGTGAGGAAACTTTTTGAGACGAATTGGAGTAGGACTTGTTCGCGGGGTGTGAGATCTAAATTGGATCATTGGAATTGTCAGCTTTGATAAACGGAAGTGTGGGGTAATAATTGCTTACAGTCGATGATTTCGAAGAGGATTTCTACCGGTAGTGTGTCCATATCTGGTTTCTTTGCGTGAGCAACATGGAGGGCAGGCCGGTCTGTGGCGAGACCGGAGGTAGTTCAAGAGATAGATGTCGGGAGGTGGTGCCCTTGTAAGGCTCCCCGTTCCATGTCGTGGATAGATCGCGGAGTGTTTTCCCGGGCTGGATTTGAAATCACGTGTCTTTCTTTTCTACAATTATTGCGATAGTATTTATTAGTCATTGTAGCAAACTATGGGAGGAATGAATATACTGCGAATAGCCCAGTCTGAATGGTTATGTGAACAGGACCATGTTCTATGCAAATGTGTTCCCATGTTTTCCCTGTCATAACTCTTACGAAGCCTTCATATCCGCATTAATCGTACATATATATTAAAATAAGACAAGATAGAGAGAAGAGATATCAAGATTCCGGTGTATAGAGGGAATCTTTGCAGAGAATGGCCACCTTCTTGAAGAAACGCCTCCATTCAAGCGGATCACCTTTGACTTTCATAAATTCAATCTCGAAAAGACCCTCCGCTACACATTCAATCAGGATTTTGCCCTGCAATACGCACTTTCTGGAGTCATTCGTAACAACCCGGATCATTGCACCGCTATCTCCTTGCGAAACCGCAGGAATTGTAGGCACAGGGACCCCCAGACGATGCAAGGCTTCACAAATTAAAGGAACCAGAAGCTTAAGTTCCCAAATAGAGAAGAAACGGGTCATAGTACGTAGAGGTATAATGTCACCGAATCTTTGCGCTTTCTGAGTCCGGCTCAGAGGCACGGAAGGATGGGGGGAGAATTGGGACATAGACGGTTCTTCTTCGAGGTTGTCAGCTAGCAGGGTGTCATCCACAATTAAGGGCCTGCCGGAGGGCTGGGTAGATGAGAATGTATCGGCCAGATGAGGCATATCCCAGTCGACCAACATGTCTGCTCTCACCATCTCGGGTTGTGTAGATGGGAGCCTATGGTCCATATCATCTATATCCACGCCCATGCGATCCGGCCCGGGTGTGCCAACATTTGCGGCCCGGGATACCGGTCGTGTCAGGTCGATGTGTAACGACTCAAACATGGATGTTGCCAAGTTGATCGGGTCACCGAGCCTGCCGTCCGGTGTCAAATACCGGTTCTCTCGGGTGTACCAGGGATGTCTCCTGACATCCTCTAATAAAAATCGACTAGCGGGGTTGATGTTCAACATTCCACGCATTAATGATAGAGTCGCGGGTGGCAGCTCTTTCCATAATTCGTCCGAGGTCCTCGCGTTTGTTCTAACATATTCATCGTACTCCGCGCTCGTCTCCGTTGGACTGTCCCATGGCGTATTCCCAGCAAGCAAGACGAATAAAACGATACCACAAGACCAGATATCCACCACATCAGGCCGATAACCCGCTCCTCTCTGTCCGCCGCGAGAGCTGCACGCGATTACTTCTGGAGCAATGTACGGAGGACTACCGCAGAACGTAGTCGATAGCTTAGTAGCTCCTTTGTATTCAAACAATGTTGCCAGACCAAAATCCGCGATCTTCAAGTTCCCGTCAACCGTTAAGAGCATATTCTCGGGTTTAATGTCGCGATGCCCAACTCCCTTGGAATGCATATAGCCCACGGCACTGATGAGTTGCGTGAAATAGACATGGGCAATGTCCTCCCCCACGCCCTCATCGGCCTCGATCTTGTCGAAGAGGTCGCCACCCTCGGCCAGTTCCATTGCGATCCAGCGCCAGGCGTCATCCTCCCCTGTCGCGTAGAATGATATTATATTGTTATGGCCGATTATGTGTTTATGGACGGTCGCTTCCATCTGCAATTGACGCGGACTGATCTTGCCATGGCGCGCAGCGTATTCTTTGTGAATAAACTTGACGGCAATGATGGGGTTATCGGCGTTCGTAGGACAGGCCTTTTTTATACTGTATTGATGAAACCATGTCAATATTATCGCATGAGAATTCCTTCATTATAAAGTAGCACTCACCAGGCATAAGCACCCTGTCCGATGGTTTTCGAGACGATGCGAAAGGGAAGATCGCTCGGTAGCGGGGCAAGCTGAGAGTGGTGCATTGTGACAGATTGTAGTGGAAGAAATCTATGAACTATACATTGAATGCAAAATTGAGAAATAGAAGGACAAACCGTGAGCCATGGTCAAGTTATTCTCCTTCCGTCCACGCAAGGGTCGGAGGCGACTCGAGACGGGCAGAAGAGAGCAGATGAAAGAGGCGAACCTTCGCGGCACGCGAGAACCACTTTATCCTATTCGGGAAATATGTTATCGCTGGAATGGATCAGCTGTAGGCAACATGGTATTTATCGTAAAGTAGGTACTAGGTAAAAAAGCAGAGGGTAGAATAGACAAATCATATTAGCCCTACAATACTACAAAGATGTAAAATTTTGATACGCTTCATCCGATCTTTATACTCCGGAGTTTTTGTACTGGAGATTTTACATCCATGGATGGAGTGAAGAAGACGGAGTACAAAAGAACCCACGGGTTTTAAGAGCAAACGAAAAAAGACCAATCCCTCTAGCAAATCCATTCTCATTCTAGAAATCATACCTCGTCATACTTCTTTCGTTGCATACGGGGCAACGTTCCGGCAGTTGAGGTAGATCTGCACAGATTTATACATATTCAGCCTTAATTATTCACTGGGCATATTCTGTATAGCTAACCCTGTATACTGGTTATTTTCTCTTCCATTATTTCTTTGGATTGTGGTAGCAAGCAAAGGACCAAACTGCGTACTTGTAAGTAAGCGGGGTGATGGTTGCCCCGGTGGTTGACATCTTGTCGGTGGAGTAAACAACGCCTGTTCTTTTGTCTCTCTTTCCATTGCTCTCCCCTTGTTTCCTTCTTCCCTTCTCTCTCCAAACGCCGCGGAATACTTTTACTATCCTCATTTCCCTCCTCTTCCTTTTTTTATATTTTTTTTATTTCTTGCACTTTTCCGTGCTAAGCGATTATCATCGTTTCTGGTTTCAACATCCCTTTCAGCGGATCATTCCTGCGCCCGTCATTCCAGAGAGTAACCGTCTCTTGCAACCTTGTGCTCGCCGCCATCTCCCTCACTTTACTCATTAAATTCCGAGTTCTTTGCCTCCTGCAGCCGCTGTCTAATCGCCAAAATGGACTACACTATGGAAGACTCTCAGAACTCGGCACCCGACGCGCACGAGACCACCAAGTTGGGCTCATCGTCGAGTCAGAGAAATGACACCCAGAGCGTGACCAAGCGGTTAGTCTTCCATTTTCATGTCTCTGAAAACCTGGCATTGACTTTTGCAGTCTCCAAGCAGAACTGATGCAACTGATGCTCTCGCCATCCCCCGGGATCTCCGCCTTCCCTGACGCGGACGGCAACCTTCTTTCGTGGACAGCCACCATCACCGGTCCGACAGAGACTCCGTACGAAGGTCTCACAATGAAGCTTTCGTTTGCCTTCCCGAATAACTATCCTTACGCGCCGCCGACCGTCCTCTACAAGACTCCCATCTACCACCCCAATGTCGACTTCTCTGGCCGCATTTGTTTGGATATTTTGAAGGACAAGTGGAGTGCGGTTTACAACGTGCAGAGTGTTCTGTTGAGTTTGCAGAGTCTGTTGGGAGAGCCTAACAAGTATGTGCCTGATTATAGCTATGACATGTTCAATGGCTGATCTGTTATAGCGCGAGTCCCCTTAACGCACAAGCTGCTGAGCTCTGGGACACCGACAAGGAAGAGTACAAACGCCTTGTTCTAGCAAGACACCGCGACGTCGACGACATCGAATAAACGTATATCGCCGAAATCTGTCCTGACCTCGCAGGATGGATGTATATCTACATCTTGTCGCCATACCGGTGCAGTCGAGTTCATCCTGCCTCCCGGACGGCACATTGCATATGCAAATGGGTACATGGTTTTGGAGTTTGCGTTGGAATCTTATAATTGGGATCACGTGGTCAGGCCAATTGCACGTGTCCCTGAATACCCTTTCTTTTGGCATAGTCTAGGAATGCATGGAGTCATCGTTTTACGACCGCTATTGTTACTGGTCGCAGCCCATTGCTGTTATCATTGGAGGATGTCGGACTTACACCCTAACTCCTTCCGAGCTGATGCAAAACAACATATATCTGTTATAACAATAATAACTTAACTTATACCTATGATGAGATATACTGTTGCTCATTGGTGATCAATAGTCCTGCAATCGCGGCACTGGTGAAAGTGCTAATTGCTCCCGTCAACATGGCGCTGATCGCAACACGCGAAACATCACCAGCACGCGACGGTGCGATCTGAGCAAGCACACCAATCTGGTTACCTAGAGAGCCAATATTGGCAAAACCACACAGGGCATAAGTAGCGATGACGCGAGAGCGTGCAGAAAGATGCGAATATTCGTCGTATTTCTGAAGGTGCTCGTAGGCAACGAATTCATTCTGCTGCTGTTAATACTCACGATCCTTCATGGCAAGGAAGGCCAGTCAAAAAACACTTACCGAGATTAACTTGAGCCCGATCAACTGCCCAACTTTCAGAATGTCATCACCCTCGCGAGAAACACCCAAAAGAAATGCAATCGGGTAACAGATGTACCCAACGATCAACTCGAGCGTCAACGTCGGCTCATTGATATTAATATACCGACCCCACCAGGTCAAAAGGCCATCTACGAGACCAATGAGCGAAATAATACAAAGCAGGGTAGCGCTCATGAGACCCGCAATCTTGATACCAATCCACGCGCCGTTGGCAAATGCATGCAATGCGTTCGCGGGCCGCTCTTCCTCAGGCTCCTCAGGAATAACCACACGGCCGGCGGTGATGGTTTCACCTTCAGTCTCGGGCCAGCGTAGTTTGGACGCTGCCAATGAGGCGGGGATACTCATCACACAAGACGAGATGAGGGCTTGAGAGCTGACGCCCATGCCGATGAAGGAGACAAGCAGAGAGCCTGCTATGGTAGCAAAACCGGAGCACATGACTTGATGGATTTCAGCCATGGTGAGATGTGCGACAAATGGCTTGATGAGCATTGCGGATTCGCCCTGTCCAATAAAAGGCGATGCAGCTGCGACAACGGCCTCCGCGCCGGATACTTGCATGCTCCAAAAGAAGAACGCAGCGAACTTGACGATAAACCACTGAATTATATGGAAGTAGTACAGCAGCTGGACAAAAGAGACGAAGAAGATAATGGCTGAGATAACGCCGGGGATGAACCAACCGCTGTGATCTGCGGAGAAGCCTTCTGTAGTTAGGAAGTCGGTGCCTTGCGTTGAGAAGTCGAGGAGTTCACGCGCAAGCATCGAGATGAAGTTGAAGATGTCGTAACCGGCCGTGGTGCGCAGAACAAACAGTGCGATGATGAACTGCACCAGCATACCCACAATTACTGTGTGCCAGTTAATCCGGCTGCGGTCTCGCGAAGTGATCCAGAGACTGAAGATGCACACGACCAGGCCGAAGAGACTCACGGCGCGGTTGTCGCGCGTGTTATCTGCGGATTCGGGAGAGGCGAAGGAACCGATCAGGATTACCGCGATTGTGAGGAGGGCTGCGGCTGGGATTCGCATTTTGTCGGGAATCAAGCGGACGAAGGGTATAGCTGTGCGTTTCCAGACATAGTACACTGGTCGTGTGATGATGGAGACGGGGACGTAGAAGAAGATAATCCGCAGCGTGATGGCGAGGTATAGCAGGAACGGGATAACCCAGTTCTTGTCATGTCGGTGCAGGATGAGACTGGCTATCCACCATCTATCATACGCATGAGTCTGCTTCTTTTCTCCATTCTTACCCCTGCTCTGTCTGCCCCGGAAGTAAGAACTCACCCGGTGAACAAGAGCCAGATGACCGCATAAGCGACATGCTTCCAGTGCCGCAGCCAGCGACGATACCACGGCTTAAAGATCATTTCGCCATCCTCGTCGCTTTGGCTTGGGATTTTGCCTGCGTTTTGTTCCCACATGGTTCCGTCTTTAGCGTAGCCAATGTCTTCGTCGGGGGTTTTTTGGTCCACCGGTTGGATGTGCTGTGGGGGTTGGGGTTCTGGTTGCATGACCGGTTCGGTACGGATTTGAGGGTTCATTGTTTCTCCCTGCTTAGTGGTGTGGTCTACCATTTTCTCGCGTGTTGAACAGTGAGTTGCCGGTCCTGCGGCAGTTTATCAATTCTGCGTCTGGGTGTCTGTCCGTGGTCAGATCAAGATACCTCAGATGAGAGATAGTCGCCATTGATAGGAAGTATATACCCTGCTTAGTTCGGGAGGTAAGCTGCATCAATCGCGTCCTTCCTGGCTTGTTGCATTCCCTGTCTATCAGACGAAAAAGTCGATTCCTCGGCCTAGGGCATGATGGATAAGAAGAAGAGAGAAAAAGAGGAAGAAAGAAACAGCCGGAATGATAACGGAGAAACCGAGGGTTTTTTTTTTTTCCCAGTGTGTATCACGGACCATCCGGTCTTTTTTTTTTTTTTTTAAAGAACGATAAGACGATCAAGGGGATCCTTCCCTCAGTGTTGAAACCGCATACCGGGACTGGGTACTTGCCACTGTCGGAGGCGCCCCGACTTGGATTCTCCGCATGAAGTCGCAGTGCATTGTTACAGTCACACAGAGTTAAGATACGAGGATGAATTACTGGGTTACTGGGGTTATCTGTAAGGAGATATCAAGAGACTCTACTCCATACGCACAGTGCAAGTAAGCGTTGATAGAGTCGTCTGATGGAGACGAGAAAAAAAATCTATAAAGTGCTTCCCAGATAGGAAATGTTCAGCCGAAGCTAAGAAACGGAGCTTTCCGTGTTTTAATATCGCTGATAAGAGATCTGGGATTTCGCGCGTTCACGCGTTTGACAGATATCGATGAGATATCTTGTCTATAGTCTCTGGTGGTTGTTGTTGTTATTGTTGTTGTTTATAATGCTGTCTATATGGACTGACTGTATGGAGATTTATACGGCGTAGTCCGAAGACGAGTTTGAGCCAAGATAACAATGCAACATCGTTCGTTGCAAGCAGATCGATGGGCACACATGCTCACCACTGCTATGCCAGATGACCGTTTTCAATCATGTCCAACTGAATACTAGTAAAGTAATGAGTACTTTGTGGTATGCAATGATGCTCACTTCTAGTAGTATTTCTGGTCTGCACATGTATTCTGCAGATAAACGTGATCAAGCTTACATTTGCCCCTCCTCCATCCAGCGGGTCTTCTCCAGCTTCCAACCTTAATCCGGCCCAGCAGGAAGATTAGCAAAAAAGCAATGTGATCCATCCATCTATTACACTATACTAGTACTGTTATTATTATCGCAGCTATGGACGCAGACTGGGAGTTGGAAGAGGGTATTCCTCAGGTCGAGGATCCCTTTATCCAGAAGTATCTGAATGGTCGCAACTCTTTGATCGCCCAGGAACAGAAACAACGTCATGGTCAGCAACATCACCAAATTCACCCCTCCTTCGACTTCGTTTCTTGAGATGGCCCAAACTTATAGTACTCATCCTGTATAGATGCCAATCTTCGAAAATCTCTCTCCCCCGTCGCAGACAGAGCATGTCGAATCGTCTCCAAAATCCGCGCCCGCGAGCGAAAACAGGTCTGGTCCAAGGAACTCGATGACCCCAAGGACGACAACGAGACTACCCATCAAGCGGACGAGATCCTATACCCAGGAGTCATGTTTCACTTAGCCAGAAATCGAATGGAAAAGACTAAGCTCTGGAAGATTGTTCAACACATGCCCAAGGGCTCGTTGCTTCATGCCCATCTTGATGCCATGTTTGATATAGATTTCTTGATCGATCTGGCCTTTTCTACGCCAGGGATTCATATATGGGCACCTCAGCCGCTGCGGTCACAGACGGATTTTGATGAGGCGCCGTTTTACTTCCGATACGCGTCGTTGTCGACCGGGACTGGCGAGGCAGCGGTTTGGTCTGAGAGTTACAAGCCTTCTTCGTTGGTTGATATTCACACGGCTGCTGCATCGTTTCCGGGCGGGGGGGAGGCAGGTTTCCGGGCTTGGTTGAGGAGTCGATGTGTTTTGACACCAGAGCATTCATTTTATCACTACCATGGGGTCGATGCTATCTGGGCTATCTTCCGTCGCACCTTCCCCATTATCAACTCGATCCTCCAATACGAACCCATTTTCCGTGCATGCTTGCGTCACTTGTTGAGACAGCTCGCGGCCGACGGTATCCGATATGTGGATTTCCGAGCCGCGTTTGTCTTCGAATATAGACGTGAAGGAAGCGAGGCACCAGAGCCGGACTACATCGAGTGGTGTCGTGTGTTCGGCGATGAAATTGAGAAATTCAAATCCACCGATGAGGGAAAGAATTTCTACGGGGCCCGCATTATCTGGACCACTCTTCGCGCGCTATCAAACAAGCAGATTACGGACAGCATGAAGCAATGTATCGAGACCAAACAGACATTCCCAAACCTTATTGGCGGATTCGATGTGGTTGGACAGGAGGATAAAGGACGAACACTGGTCGATCTCGTCCCGATCCTGTTCTGGTTCCGGAAACAGTGTGTGGAAGAAGGGGTGGAATTGCCCTTCTTCTTCCATGCAGGAGAGTGCTTGGGTGACGGTGATAGTACCGACAACAACCTCTTTGATGCTGTCCTGCTGGGCACCCGAAGGATTGGACATGGATTCTCGTTGTTCAAGCACCCCTTACTTATTGACTTGATAAAGGAAAAACGCATTCTTGTCGAATGCTGTCCCATCAGCAACGAAATCCTTCGGCTCACTCCCACAATCCAAACCCACCCCCTTCCTGCTCTGTTGTCTCGCGGCGTCTCGGTCGCGCTCTGCAATGACGACCCTGCAATCTTGGGTCACGGCCGGAACGGGTTGACACACGACTTCTGGCAGGCTCTACAAGGGTTGGACAACATGGGTCTCACCGGGTTGGCCACGATGGTGGAAAACTCAATCCGATGGAGTTGTTACGAAGACCAGACGACACCCGAGTGGTTAGCGGACATTCATGATGGTATGCTGGGCGACGGTACCAAGGCCGCTCGTTTGCAGGAGTGGTATAGAGATTTCGAGAAGTTTTGCGAGTGGATTATCCTGGAGTTTGCTGAGGAGGATATTGATGATTGAGTCCGGGTATATATCCCGAGCCGAATGGTACCATAATGTTATTATTTGTCTGGCGTGAAATACTGGAACTCTGGCATGATCGTACTCCGTAAACAGTATACCCAGAATAACGTTAGTTAATCCGAAGTTTATGCAATGTCAATTACCCCCTGTAGGAGCGTTGCAGTAGCATATCCATGTGCCAAGACACACATAACAGTGTAATCGACTACATCACAGCACCTGTTTCCGGGGATTTTACAAGACATAGAATAAACAACTCACACCAGTTGACTACAGGTAAACATTCATCGCATCCCCTGGCCAAGTTACCGATTTCGGCGTGTGAGTTGTCGGGGTGTGATTTGACCCTCCCGCCTGACTGTCGGCGGCGGGTTGATCGCCATTCGGAACGTCATCTCCTCTCCTCCATCTCTGGGGAAAAAGAAACAATCCTCTTTCCTTTTTCCCCTGTTTTCATTCATCCCCCCCAAACAAACAAACTGTTCCTACGGAACATACATACACAAGAAAGAAAGGAGACACTGCGCTCCCTTACTTATACATCGCTGTGTTTCTTGATAGTATTATGTTCCTTCCCCGATGACAGTCTAAATGAGCCCCCGGTCGGCTCTGTTCGTCGCCCAAGATGGCTTCCTTTTTGCCTTCATTTTTCCAGAAGCGGTTGCTCCGGTATGCTCTTTCAAGGTTGGAGCTGGTCGACACCGAGGCCTTGGACTTGGATAGTCTGGGCATCCGCTGGGGACAGAGGAGTACGGTGGAACTACGGGATATTGGATTGAGATTAGAGGTAACCTTGTCCCAGATTGTTAAGAGACATAATAAGAGAGCTAATATACCCATAGAAACTAGCTAGCTTTTTACACCTTCCCCCTTCGAGTGAGTTACTCAACGCTCGCGTCCGGTTCCTCAAAATCACCGTTCCCGCCGATATCTACAGCAGCGGCATCGTTTGCGAAGCTAGCGGTATCGAAATACACTTGAAAATATCGTCGGAAGAAGCAGAACCGTCAGATCACGATCGGAACCCGTCGACGACCGCCCAGGATGCTATCGATGACCAAATCCTCCCCACGCCGACCGATCTTGCACAGTCGTTCTTGGAAGCGGAGCCTAAGGAGGAGAAGGATGAGTTGCAGGCAGCTATCTCGTCGCGGTCTCAGGTGCTCCAGCAACGATCGTCGACATCATTGAGTGATGATGAGGAGGAACTGGGATTGGGAAATGAGAGTTTGTCACTGCCTAGTTTTGTGGCTGGTTTTTTGAAGGGGATTGCGGATCGGCTGCAGGTCAGGGTGAATGATATCGCTATACGGGTTGATATGGAGCTGAAGCAGGATGGTACGGCCAAGAGGCAGCCAGAGGATGAGCCGGATTTGGTGACTGCCATGCTGAGTGTGCGGGAAGTCAAGGTGGATGGGGTTTCGACGACTTCCTCAGAGGATGCCTCCCATACCCGAACGGAAGGAAAGAGACTTGTTTCGGTATCTGATATCAACATGACCTTAGTCTCAGACCCCGTTGTTTTCTCGAACTATTCTCGATTCGCCGCTCCCCCTTCCCCGGATGACTTGACGCAATCAAAGTCCAGCCAGTTTCCCAGCAGAGCGCCATCTCCTTCGCTATCTGAATCGTCGGGTAATTCAAACCTGGCCATGACGCGGCCTACTATCTTCGGAATACCCAATGGGCCGCAGGAGGAAGAACCGGAGCAGCCAGGGACACCAAGGCCGACTGCACCGCAGATGGAAGCATCCGCATATACCTTTGATGGTCGATTCTCGGATGCAGATTCGGAGGGTGATACCAGGAGTGACGGCTATCTTCAAGACTCGCAGAACCTTGCGGATGATGGGATATTGGATAATCCGGATTATCTCGATTCGGTTATTGATACTCAATACGACGATGATGACATTGAAAGCGCATCACGCCCATGGCCAAGAGGTGGGCAACGCCTTACGGGCAATGAGACTACTTCGCGTCCTCCAAGTCCTCAGCTACATTTCTCTGAAAGTATGCTGCGGGAGAGTGATATAGGGGAAACCGGGATCTCGGCAGGAATGTCAGCGAGTCATGAACGGACACCTTCCGTCCACAGCTCTGTGCATGGCAGCCAGGCTGGTCTCAGGATCACTGAGAGTGCAGTACACCGCACGGGATTCTCCGAGCTTCCTCGTCTCTTGGATTCCTCACTCGCTGAAAGGCACGCGGAGGAGCAGGAGCGGCCTCCATCTCACACCTCGTCACCCCCATCCGAGGCTGGCAGTGCACATTCGCATTCTGGTTCATCCAATGGAGACCTTTCAGAGTCCAAGTTTTTCAGCCATGAGGAGGCGCAGAGCATGTACATGAGCGCTATCAGCCAAGGATCAGGCTCGAGAAGTTTCATTCCTGCCATGCCCGGAGCTTGGGATTCGGAGTCGACCGTTCTGAGATCTAGCCCTGATCACGAGACAGCCAGCCATGAGACACAGGAGGAATCAATGTCCACACCAAAGCTTAGTGGTCAGCCGGGACCGTTCGCACATGCCCAGGAACAAGGAACCGAGGATAACTCCGAAGCGCAGTCTGAAACAACTGAAAAGGAACTCAGCCAATCAACCCCGGAGTTGAATAAGGTCACTGGCGTGGCGAAGAGGTTTTTAAGCGTTGATAAGGTGTTGATCTGGATTCCGCCGGTTGAACAAAACAACGATAGTGAAGGCGCGCCAGCAGAGTCACGCAGAGCACCCCACGAGGACTTAGAAGAGTCTACGGCCGACTTGCGGGAGTCTAAAATTGAAGATGATATTCTTACTTCGAGAGTCTATGACTCTACACGACTTCGTCCGGGTACTTTGCACCACTCAAGGGAGTTGCGCGCCGACTTGCACGACGAACATAAAACGATTGCAGTCGAGGTGTTCTCCGTGGACTTGCAATTTGACATTGCTACTGGCTGGCTCCTTACCAAAATAGGCCAGAGAATCGCTCAAGCCTTTGATAATAGCGAGGAACAACCGCAACCGCGACCTTCTAAGAAAGGCCGTCAGCCAGAAAAGTCGCAGGCGCAGGGCAAACAGGCGATCAGCATCTCTCTCAATAAGCTGTCAATCAAGTTCGTTGAGCATTTACACGGACACGCTTATCCTGCTGATGGCACTGGATTGCACTCGTCGCAGTCCTTTAGTTCATCTATCGAGGATACCGTACTGCAAGCTTCAGCATCTGGTTTGAAGGCTCGCTTCGCTACGGAGAAAGAAACCACGAGTTTGCATCTCGATATCTCCAAGTTCACGCTAGGATTTGCTTCTGATAATCTGATCTTGTTCGATGAGAGCCTGAAGATGCGAGAATCTACACGGGATATCATGGCGCCCAGGCATGGCGACATCTCTCTTTTCCTGAGCAAATCTCCTGATTCTGGAAGAGTCAATCTGACTACGCTTCCGCTGCTGGTTAATTTCAATGTCCAACGCTTAGAGGAAGTCTTTGGTTTCTTGGGTGGTTTGAGTACTATTTTGGAATTGGGAAGCTCTATCTCGTCCGTGTCAACCGTGAAGGGTGCCAAGCAAGAAACACCGCCACCAAAACGGCCCCGTGGAGTGCATTTTGAGACGGCGCCTCCGCCTGCCAGTGTGGAGCCAGATGATTCTACGCCTTGGAAGGTGAATGCTCGCGTGGGTGGTGTTATGCTAGATATTGTTGGAGAAACCCATTGTCTTAAATTGAGATCAACGGCTCTCAAGATGGTCAGCAGGTCCGAAGGAATCGGAGTCCAAGTCGACAAGACAAAAGTGAGCGGGCCTTTCCTTGTCGGCGGGTTCCAGGATGCACCTGCGAAGGTCAGCTTGACAAATATCCGAGTTGAATACTTGTTCACTCCAAAGGAAGTCGATTTGGACCGTCTCCTGGCGCTGATAACACCGTCCAAGGACAAGTACGACGAGGATGACGACATAATGCTCGACACTCTCTTCCGACAGCGACGACAGGGATCTGTTCTTCGTGTTACGGTTGCCGGGATGAAAACCATCATTTCTCGAATCAATGACCTCGAACCAATTTCCCAACTCGGCAATGAGCTGTGCAGGTTCTCGAGTATGGCCAAGTATCTTCCCGAGGATGACCGCCCAGGGCTTCTTATCCTTGCTCTGATTAAGGAAGCCGAAAGTCAGGTACACATTGGCGGTCAAGTTGGGGATATCTCCGCTCACCTCCGCAACGCCGAGGCTGCTTATATCAGTATCCCATCTTTGATTGCTGCTCAAGTTGGAACGATGGCAGTCGTCAGAAATGGCGAGGAGGAGCTCCTTGGTGAAGCATTGATATTGAGCAGGGAGAAGAGCAAGGACCACACACCGCTTCCGGTATTAATGGCTCGTTTTATTGCCGATGAGATGGAGCCTGCTGTCAAGATCAAGCTGCATAATTTGCGGGTGGAGTATACCATTCCATCGGTGATGGCGTTCCTTGGATTCAGCGAGGACATGACGCGGGGTGATGTTGCTAGTAACATGGCGAACTCACTGGCTAATATTGCAGAGGTATATGAGTCTCGACACATGTCTGAGAAATCTCCTGTAAAGCCAAATAGTCCAAAGGGCTCTGCTAAGCCTACCCGGTTGGCGCTGGATTTGCGAGACTGCGTCATTGGCTTGAATCCTCGTAACACGCCGGCAAGGGGCTTGGTTGTGCTCACGAACGCCAAGTTTGCCGGCACCATCCATGATCTTGAGTCTTCTGAGGCGACTTTAGATCTCCGAAAAGCGTCAATTATGGTCATCGACGACGTGCAGAATATAGGTTATACCGACAACGTATCCCGGGCTAGATCTACAGTTCCGCAGAGTAGCCAAGTTCAGTCTTTAATCGACTTGGGATATGTTCCTGTGTCATCGATTTCGTCAGCGACAGCTACCGTGAAGTTATTGGCCTCCGGTGACGGAACGAAGTCAATTGATGTGGAACTCAGAGACGATTTGTTGATCCTGGAAACTTGTGCCGATTCGACGCAGACCTTGATAAGCATCGCGAATGGTCTTCAGCCGCCGATTCCTCAGACTGAGGCTGTTAAGTACCGGACAGAGGTCATGCCAATCCAGGACATGTTGGCGTCGTTTTCAGGGGATGCTTTTGAGGCTGACCCGGTAACTGTTCGACCGGAGGGTGTTCATGATCCTGTCCCAATTGGAGAGGATGATGGAAGGGAGAAAATAGAGGACGAACTCGAATACGTGAGCGACTTCTATCCAGCGAAGCCGGGCTCTGATACCGATGAATTCGCCGGCATGACGGGCTCGCCAACGGGCGCTTCCGACCCCGAAGATCTTCTCGATAGTTTCCATTCACAATATGAGGTTTCGTCCAGCTTTTCTGAGCTTGATTTCCAGAGCGACCATTTCGCCAAACAGTCCGCGGTTGGTGGTACGGCACACCGGTGGGACTCGACGCAGAACACCTATGGGCTTTCAAACGACTCGAAGCTTCAGAGAAGTCCTCTGCGGGTTAGAGTTCGGGACGCCCATGTCATCTGGAACTTGTTTGACGGATACGATTGGCAGCGGACGCGGGATACGATCTCCAAGGCTGTCAAGGATGTGGAGAAGAAAGCGTCTGAAAGACGTTCTAGGACCGGTGGCAGCCGAGCGTCCCCTGGGCTGGAAGAAGAGGAGGAATCGGTGATTGGTGACTGCCTCTTCAACTCAATCTACATTGGCATCCCCGCGAACAAGGACCCGCGAGATATTCGTGGCGATATCAATCGTAATATCGATGATCTAGTCAGCGAAACGGGTAGCTATGCGACTACGACGACTGTGACCGGGGCGACGGCGCGACAGAGCCAGTCGCCCTCGATACGAGGGAAGAAGCTGCGCTTGTCTCGGAGCAAGTACCACAAGATGACGTTTGAATTGAAGGGTATTTGCGCAGATCTTGTTGTCTTCCCGCCTGATTCAGAAGAGACGCAAAGCTCATTGGACGTGCGTGTCAATGACCTAACAATCTTCGACCATGTGCCTACTTCGACATGGAAAAAGTTTGCTACGTACATGCATGAAGCTGGCGAGAAGGAAAGCGGAACGAGCATGATCCACCTGGAGATCTTGACGGTTAAGCCTGTTCCCGAGCTGGCTGCATCGGAGATTGTCTTGAAGGCTACTATTCTCCCTGTTCGGCTACACGTCGATCAAGATGCTTTGGATTTCCTGTGTCGGTTCTTCGAGTTCAGGGATGAGTCTGCTGCTAGCACGCCTCCTGTTCCAGGCGAGGTTCCGTTCTTGCAGCGGGCAGAGGTCAATTCTGTGCCAGTTAAACTCGACTTCAAGCCCAAGCGAGTTGACTACGCGGGCCTCCGTTCTGGCCGCACAACTGAGTTCATGAACTTCTTCGTTCTAGACGGTGCAGACATGATCCTCCGCCATGTAATTATTTACGGAATTTCCGGCTTCGACAAACTAGGCCAGACCCTCAACGATATCTGGATGCCAGATGTCAAGAGTAATCAACTCCCCGGCGTCCTCGCAGGTCTCGCACCCATCCGCTCCCTCGTTAACGTTGGCGGCGGCGTAAAAGACCTCGTCGTGGTGCCTATGCGCGAGTACCAGAAAGATGGCCGCATCGTCCGCAGCATCCAACGCGGCGCCATCTCCTTTGCAAAGACAACCTCCAACGAACTCGTCAAGCTAGGCGCCAAACTAGCCATCGGCACGCAAACCGTCCTCCAAGGCGCAGAAGACCTCTTCTCCGCCCAAAATGCCGCAGCCCAACAATCAATCCCCTCCACAACAGCAGGAGTAACAAATGAAGACCTTCTCGACGAAGAAGAAGCCAAGAAAATCTCCCTTTATGCGGACCAGCCTGTGGGTGTCGTACAAGGCCTGCGCGGTGCCTTCACCGGCCTAGAACGCGATCTCCTTCTCGCGCGAGACGCCATCGTCGCTGTACCAGGCGAAGTTGTGGACAGCGGGAGTGCGAAGGCTGCTGCGAGGGCTGTGTGGAAGCGCGCGCCGACTGTGGTGCTTAGACCTGCTATTGGCGTGTCAAAGGCTGTTGGGCAGACCTTGTTGGGGGCTGGGAATACGTTGGACCCGGCGAATCGGAGGAGAATGGAAGATGTAAGTTTTTCTCTTTTGTCCTTTCGCAAAACTTTTTGCTAACGATGCGAGCAGAAATACAAACGCCATTGAAACCCCTCTTTCGACATCAGTTATCTGGATAATTTTCATGGTTTTCATACAGCCTACTTGCTTGTTTGCTTATTATACCCTACTTTATTTTATTTATTTATTTTATTTTATTTTATTTTTTTTGTTTTTTTGTGGAATGTTTCTGTATCCCACCCCGATTGGTCCTATTTCAACACGAAACTGAAGAATGAGGTTGATGATAATGATTGACGAACGACTGCGTTTTGTTGTATTTGGTTGATTGATTGTGTTTTTTCGATTGCATTTATTCAGGACATAGATTGGTGTTTATTGGAACTACTTGCTTGCTATGAATACTATACTAAAGAATGAATAAGTTACTTTTGTGATTAAGATTAACTATCATCAAAATTACACATATTCCTTTTTCCCATGACTAAACACAGAATAAGAATTATAGATAAGTACGATCAGAAAAGGAAACAATGTTGTGCCAATGGTACACTGGTAACTTCTCCAGCCTTGCATTGTTTTCCATCTGCCACGACGGTCTAGAAAATCACCAATTAACATCTTTACCTCTATAGATATCAGAAACAGGGGGTATAAGTGCTTACAAACAACTCCGGATCAACCTCCATATGCGGCGTGGCATTATTAAACTTCATATCATGTTTCGTGACAGTACGGCAGTTCTTGACTGGTTCGATTTGCTTTTTCAGATCGTACGAGTCGATGACGCCGGATTCAACACTGGCCTTAGAGACGAAGAGCACGCTGGATGTAGGGTTTAGGGGCTGTTGCAAATGTCAGTGGAATTGATTTGACCATGGTAATGGATAGAGGGTACGTACCGCGAACATCTTTCTGGTGATGATAGGTTGGACAGTAGAGATTGAAGCATTTGGATCTCCCTAGATACTGTTAGTGGCGACCATGAAAACTTGACGAGAAAACATACCATCTGCGCCGAAGCAATGAATCCCTTCTTCAGCACCAAGAACGGCTTCGTTCCGAAGTTTGACGGCTCCCAGATCGCCAAATCCGCCATCTTACCAACCTCCACACTTCCTACCATATGACCGATACCCTGCGCCAATGCAGGATTGATCGTGTACTTACTGACATACCGCTTGATACGATGGTTATCAGCACCAGTATCCTCATCCTCAGGGAGAGGGCCTCTCTGCTGCTTATTCTTATGCGCCGTGTTCCAGGTGCGGAGGATGACCTCGCCGCAGCGGCCCATTGCCTGGGAATCAGAGGACATCATACTAATAGCGCCTGTATCGTGGAGCATGTCTTCAGCCTCGATGGTTTCGGCGCGAATACGGCTGTCTGCGAAGGCAATGTCTTCGGGGATGTTCTTGGACAGGTGGTGGCAAGACATGACCATGTCGAGATGTTCGTCGACTGTGTTGCAGGTGTAGGGCTTGGTTGGGTTCGTGGAGCTAGGGAGGATGTTGGTATGCTGAACAAGGGTGATCATATCTGGGGCGTGGCCGCCACCAGCGCCTTCGATGTGATAGGCGTGGACGGTGCGGCCTTTAAATGCTGCTGCGGTGCGTTCGACGAAGCCAGATTCATTCAGGGAGTCGGTGTGGATTTGGCATTGGATGTCGTATTCTTCGCAGACGCTGTATTACCTCATCAATAGAATGCGTAATGCAAGTGGATGGTAATGGAAGACCCACCTAATGCATGTGTCAATGGCTGATGGCGTACAACCCCAGTCTTCATGCAGCTTCAAGCCAGCAGCACCTGCGTTACATTGGTCCTGCAGACCTGGCTTCCCGGTATCACTTCCTTTTCCAATTACACCGTAGTTGACGGGTAGATGATCTAGGGCCTGCATCATTTGACGGATATACGTTTTACTCGGAGTGCAGTTTGCCGCAACAGTGGCCGTGCTAGAGAGACAGGTCAGCAATCACTGTCCGAGAGCTAAAGCTGAGTTTGAGAAAACGTTGAAGGACTTACCTTGCTCCCGTTCCGCCACCAAACATGGTAGTTATTCCTGCTGCCAAAGACTCATCGGCCTGCTGAGGACAAATAAAGTGAACGTGCGTATCAATACCACCAGCCGTGACAATCTTTCCTTCAGCAGCAATAACATCCGTGTTCGATCCAACAATCAGGTTCGAATTGACACCGTCCATAGTATCAGGATTTCCGGCCTTTCCAATAGCTACAATCGAACCGTTCTTCACACCAATATCAGCTTTATAGATACCAGTCCAGTCAATAACCAGGGCATTGACAATAATCAGATCCGCGCATTCATCGTCTGCTCGACCTGCAGCTTGACCAATTCCATCCCGAAGAGTCTTGCCACCGCCAAAGGTGCACTCGTCGCCGTGTGCGGTGTAATCCTTTTCTACCCTCACCCATAAATCTGTGGTACCAAGGCGGATTTTATCCCCAACCGTTGGTCCATACATCATAGCATATGACATTCTGTCCATTGTATACGGACGGATAACGCTATGGTCTGATGGAGGATCCTCAGGTACGTGCCGGAAACCTTCTTCCTCGAGACGTCGCAGGACTGCGTTCACGTGCGACATGTCAATGGTTCCTGTTGCAACACTGCTTCCACCCTTGATGGTCTGAAGACCACTAATTTGAGTCAGGGTCACCGTCTTCGTTTCACCCGGTTCGAATCGTGCAGAGGTTCCCGATGGAATATCTAAGTGGTAACCGTATGATTTGATGCGATCAAACTCCAATTGAGGGTTGGTCTCGATAAAGTGGAAATGCGATCCGACCTAGAATAGCAGTATCGTCAACAGATTGTCCGCACATAGTGAAGACACGAATTCTCACCTGGATAGGTCTATCTCCTTTATTGGTAACGCGCACTCTAGTCCTCTTCCGCCCCGGATTGAGCTCAATCGTGCCCACATCGGCTGGGACAATCGCACCTGGCGCCAGGTGTGGATCATAGTCTGCGTCTTCGTATGTCGGGAATATGGATTCGGATGGAGGAGAAATAAAACTGCCGTAGAGGGCAAGTTCTATGTTGCCATCTCCAGAACTGATAGGTTGGTCTACCGTCACTAAATGAGTTCCAGTGGTAAAGGTCCCCTCAACCTGCAATACTTGAAGCTGAGAGACCACAGAAGGAAGCACATGTCGGCGACCTAGGATATGCTTCCCTAGAGACATGAGCTGAGCCACTGTGCGGGTTCCATCGCGGATTAGCTGACAATAATTGATTAGCGTGTCAATTGCTTTGGCGGAAACCCATCTTTTACCTCATGAAGAACATGCGACAACAATGCCTATCATAATGTCAGCTATCGATTATATCGACTCGGACGGTTGAAAGAGATGGTACTGTAGCTTCGGTATTATTCAACTTCACACCCCTCGCTAGGCGATGTTGAGCTAGGAGACCGGTTTGCGCGATTATGAGTTTGTCCAACTAGCTCAGCCGTTAGCCATTAATTTTCTGGTAGACGATGCGGTGGACAGTACCTCTCGGGGAACGAGGTTCATCTTGGGTAACGATTGGATCACCAGTTACCGCAAAAAAAAAAAAAAAAAAAAAAAAAAAAAAAAAAAAAAAAATATGTATATTAAAACAAAGAGTGGGAAAGACTGGTAGCAGAATTAGAGTAAAGAAGGCTCTATTCAATAAATTTTGCATATGAGCAGTTCATGGCCCGATAGTACTCCGTGCTATGGAAGATGTTCGGTGCCGCAACGCCGGAAGTGGGCCACAGGGCTACCGCAACATACCAATGCCAGGGACCGTGACCAGCGTATGCCACAAACCTCTCACTGCTCAATGGGTCAATGCTCTTGAATTTTCGCACATCTCGGCCATCTTCATGGAAAATATGGAGAAGAAGCTTTCGGCCATCGGCCAACGCGGGACCACCGGAAACGGCATACTTGATGTCACCATTCCAGAGGGACCAGAGGAGCCAATTGGCTGTGAACGGGAACTCTCTTGGTCATTCTGAGCTCATGGGTGTTTAGTATAAGATAATGATGGGCATCCCATGGCACTACATGGCAATGGAAACGCAATGACAACGAGTCATCCTCGCAAGCGCACGGTTGGTGGCGGAGAGATAGATATCGAAGCGTTCCAGCGATCCTCTTCGATCGCAACCCTTTCCTCCACATACCCCCTGCGGCTCATCTCACACCCAGTCCGGACAAGCAGTCGCGCCGCCATTATTTTCATGTCCTCCTATGGAGGAGGACTTGTGGCTGGGGATCATGTTGACATGCATGTTAAGGTCCGACCCAAAGCACGATTAGCACTTCTGACGCAGGGAAGTACGAAAATCTACAAAACACCATCGAAAGATATCTGCACGGAGCAGAATCTCACCGCCACGATAGATGAGGGAGCAGCGATGCTATTGCTGCCCGACCCCATACAGCCATACAAGGGGAGTTCGTATAAGCAAGGCCAAGCGTTTCATGTACAGCCGCAGCACTCCAGCGTGGCATTTTTAGACTGGCTGTCAGCAGGCAGGGCGGCACGCGGAGAAGCATGGGAGTTTTTCCAGTGGAGAGGGTGCAATGAAGTGTGGACTCTCCCTGCCAACGCAGGCCACGCAGCCCCGAAAAGGCTCTTGCTGCGGGACAACGTCATCCTAGATGGCATGTCTCCATTTGAACACAGCTATCGTGATGAAATGGATGATTTGGGATTATTTGGCACCCTGATCCTCCAGGGGCCGGTTTTTCATCCGTTGGCACAATTCTTTTTGAAGGAATTCACCAGTCTACCGCGAATCCGAGGGGTATCCAGCACAACAACATCGTCGACCATGAAAGCAAAAACGACAACACCAACAGCATCACCAAGGCTGACTTGGACCGCAGCGTCAATACGGGGATGTGTCATCGTTAAGTTTGGGGCCAAAGATGTTGACGAGGCCAAGCAATGGCTGAGGGACATGTTAGAGCGAGAAGGAACGGTAGAAAGAGAGTTTGGCAAGCATTCTCTACTGTGCTTACAGTAGTAATCTGTATATAGACATAGAGCATGATAATAAATGAGCGGTGTTTTGCCTTCTCGGCGGTGACCTGAAACATGTTCCTTGCAGAACTTCGAGATCGACTGGCGTTGAGATCGTCTCATAATGGATCAGTCATTCGTCTTTGTGTATTTGTCGCGGAGGGGGCGGGGGGCAGGACAGTACCGCAACTGCAGTCATCATTGGACCACGTTGGCTGGCGGTGGGAAGTTTTAAAAAAAGATCCGTCTAGCGGAGAGAAAAAGGAAAAACACGAAGGAAAAAGAAACAAAAATTAGACGAAGAGGTTGAGTATACGGTATGGAGTAGTAGAGAGTAGAGTTAGGAGAGAGTGTGTGAGTGGTTCGAAAAGACCGACTCAAGAAGGAAGGAAGAGGCTCTGCTGAACGACACCGGTACTTTGTATATTTCTGAATCTTTTCTACAAATTAACTTATGTCGCATCTCTTTTTATTATTCATTTTTGCTGTTCTCAGCGAGGTGCATCCATCTGCTTTCTGTCATATAATCCGACTCTTCCCTCTTTGTCTCCTTCGTCTCTTTCTACTACCGTTCCTTGGCTCTCATTCGTTTGCTACCTTGGCCTATATAACACGGACTTATAAAACGCAGTCTATTGATCATATCCTCTGTTTGCGCGGTCCCTGACTGTTTGCAATATCCGCTGGCTCGTACTAGCTTCCTAATTTGGTCTTGCACCTGGTCGTGATTTCATAGAACCAGACTCAGTCTCCGGAAAAAACCCTGGAAATTTTAACCACTCTTTTTCCTCTTTTTTCTTTGGCCACAATGGAGGTTCGACCATCCAATCCCCATCCCCTGGGACTTCGGTACAGCGTTGTCGACTTCGACCATTATCCCGGTTCTTTGCAGTTTCAGCTTCACCAGCCCAAGGATTCAATAAGCGCAGGCACAGCCTATGGTGCAGCCATGGAGGAATCGAAGCCGGACTGCTCGGGTTTGCTTTCGGTACACCAATACCGGCAGCGTCTCTGGCAAGATGACGAGAGCTGCAGTTCAGATGGCCATGGCGTGAAGGTGCTGCAGCACAACAACGGTGCTTCTAATCCCAACCAGACGCCTTCTCTGTCAGCGACGTCAAGCCCGCCGCCTCTCTCGCCGTCATATTCGTTAAGTATTGCATCGCAACGCAGCGAACAGGAGCTGGAAGCTTTGGATGGTTTTCTTTGTAAGTGGGACGTCTCGTCGCAACTATGAAATTGTGCTAACAGACATAGTTCCACGAGCATCTAGTGACCAAATGGCGCATTCGGAGTTTCCAATTCGCAGAAGGGTCTCAAACCGACTGGTATGCTTCTTCCCTTTTTCTAATCTTCTTGCACATACTGATGAACCAGAATACATTTCGCGATAGATTAAGGAAACCATCTCTTACCCGAGAGTCGTCACTCCGCAGCACCCATACCAAGACGCAATCAGATTCGGTCCTCACGGACCTGAAACAGGCCAAGGCGACAATGGTGCACCAGGGAACGTCCTTTGAGATACTGAACCCGCATGAATCGCTTAACTTTGCCCGCATCGTTTCTTATATCGAAGATGTGGATATGGATGACTTCTCGTGCGCTTCGTCAGATTATAAACGAGAGTCATTCTTATCTGCCAGCACCATCAGCACAAGAGTCTTGAAATCAGAAAGGGAGGTTGCGCCATTGGATGTGCCTGATAATGAGCCAGAGACAAACGGCAATACTGGCAATGAAGAGGTGCAGGTACATTCAGATCTGGTGGGCGAACCTCCTCATACACCAATGCCGTCAATTTCGGAGCGCTTGGAGAGCAGTGAAGATGGTGCATCGACGCATGGATCCCGTTCCGAAACACCAGCATCTAGCGACCTGGGTGAACCAGGGCCATGCGAAGAGGATGGTATCGTCGTCAACGAACCAGGACAGGTCTCCAACGCACCGAAAGAAGTTCCTTCCATCACATTGGAGCAGGCTCCTTCGAATGTGCCCAAGCAAATGCCCAACAAGCCCGGACAAAAACCTCAGCCCCAGAAACGTTTCTACCCGGATCCATGGCCGTTGAGTATGTATGACGACGGACCCGCCTCCGGGCTTAGGGCTCAGGATCAGCAAACTCGCCCGGTAATCCAGCATCACATACCTGCACTGACAGAGAAACCAAATAGGACCGGCACATTTAGTCGGCTACGAGCCGTCATCCGTTTACCATTTTTGCGGCGAAAGACAGATGGCATGGGCCGGCGATGAGACTGAATTTTGATTTGTTTTTGCTACGGAGTTATTAGATACCCAGGGACTATGCCATTCTGACGTACATTTGACTTATCTCCTACACTTCTATAACACCGTACAAAGTACACCCCACAAAACATTAAGTCCCAATCACAGCAAAAGTGAACCAAAATGACCGAACCCTCCCCAACAGCCTGCAACATAATAACCACCCAATCCCTCCATAACACCCTCCCCCACAAAACAATCCTTATAACCGGCTGCTCCTCAGGCCTAGGCACCGAAACTGCCCGTGCCCTCGCCAAAACGGGCGCAACCCTCTTCCTCGGCGTCCGCGACATGCTAAAAGGCAGACGCACACTATCAGATATCCTCGACGGATCACGGGTCCGCTTGCTACGCCTCGACCTCTCCAGCTTCACGAGTATTCGCCATGCAGTGCACGAGTTCCTGAAACATGCTAGTTATCTACATGTCCTGATATGCAACGGGGCCGTCATGGCGACCCCCCGCGAACAAAAGACAGAAGATGGGTTTGAGATGCAATTCGGGACGAACCATCTCGGCCACTTCCTTCTCTTCCAGCTACTACTGCCTGTCATGCTGCGCTCCGTTGACCACGAAGCCGGCGAAGCAGTCCGCGTCATCGGCGTAACTTCGTCAGCCCACCGCCGTCTTGGAATCCAATTCCACGACCTCAACCTCCAATCCACGCACCTCGATCCCACCGAGGTGCCCAAACTAGCATACGCCCAGTCAAAGACAGCAAATATCTACATGATGAACGAGATATCACGACGTTTCGGGTCCCGCGGCGTGCAGGGTCTCTCCGTGCACCCGGGTAACGTCTTTACCGGCCTGCAGAAATACATCGATGAAGCTGTTCTTGAGGAATGGAGGCAGCCGGAGATGAAGCAGCATTTGAAGAGCGTGGAGCAGGGTGCTGCGACGACAGTGCTTGCTGCTGTTGGGCGGGAGTACGAGGGTGTGGGCGGGGAGTATTTGGAGGATTGTAGAGTTGGGGGGATGGTGGAGGAGGGGTATCGGAGTTTTGACCCGGGGTTTGAGAGACATGCTTTTGATGAGATGGGGGAGGGGAGATTGTGGGAGGTTTCGCTGGGGTTGGTTGGGCTGGAAGGGGATCAGGCGTAGCCTGCGTACAAAGTACGATGAATTAGGGTAGGTGGTAGATGGGTATCTTTGTCAAGTACAAGCATACTATATACAAGAAGGGAACTATGATACAAATACAAATACAGATACAACATTAAAGACAGTGCTCCACCATAGACGCCAATGCAGCACTAACCAGACTCTTCCTCCTAAGTCCCTGCTCACTCTTCTTGCGCATCTCCCGGCTCGACGACGACGGATAGTAGTTCTTATCAATCCGTGATGAGAACGATTGCAAGAGAGCACCGGAGCTACTCTTCCGTCGTCCTCGATACCCTTGCTCCAAATCCCCTACTCCCGAACCAGAGCTAGAGCCCGAACCACTAGCCCCCACAGGCCGCGAACGACTCCGGTTCATCGTAACGGTTCTCCGACGCGGAGACCGCCTCGGCGGCAACGAACTAGGATGGCAATCATACTCCCCAAACGTATCCATGGGACTATCCTCCTCAGCGCAGCAGATAAGTGCTCGACGAATCGCCTCGATATCTGTTACGCTGCACTGGATCTGCGAGATCTGCTGTCTCTGTGCGCGGACGTTGATCGCCTCGTGCGCGTTGTTGCTATCTGTGTGCAAGAACTCTGATGGTACGGATGTCGGGCTTAGGAAGGGTGTTTGGATATGCGAGACAGTCGGCGAGGTGAGTGTTGACTCGTTGTCGACGTCGCCGTGGAGTGATGATTCATCGTCGTGGTCGACGTCTGTGTCTGGGGGCGTGAGGAAGTAGCCTGGGAGACCAGAGCCGGGGACGAGTTCGGGGAGGGAGTGTGGGGAGAGACATTCTTCTTGCGCATTGTTCCTGGGATCAGGTTGCTGTTGTTGTTGGTTCTGCTGTTGCAGGGTATGTTCGTGGAGTTTCTTGGTGAGGGTCTCGATGGACAACCCGCCGTGCTGGTGGTCGGCGGGGACCGAGGTCGGCGGGAGAGAGGGCTGTCGGGAACGGAGAAGAGATGGTCGCACCGATCGGGGGAATCGCTGGCCCTGTGGCTGCGAGGTAAAAGGACCAGGAGATGGACAGCGCGAGGATAGTGGAGAGACCAGCGAACTGTCGCTGTCGACCATGAGGCGATCATCGCCGTCGAAGGTGACGCGGGGGCGCGGAGAGAAGGTGAAGTCTTTAAACATTGTGCCGGTGCCTTTGCAAATTCAGCCTGGATAGATTAAGTCGAAAATAAAGCCCCGGAGACTATTGCGCAGGTGCAGAATAAAAAATCAAGGTTATTTTGGCTGGAGTAGGAAACCGGCAGACATGAGGAATCACACAGTAGTAAAGTAAGTGAACGAGTGAAGTAAATAAAATAAAGAATTGCCTCTCTTTTGTTCAAATTCTTTTGAAGGCGAAAACGAGCGACCAGAGGCGAAAAAAAAAAAAAAAAAAAAAAAAAAAAAAAAAAAAAAAAAAAAAAAAAAAAAAGAGTTGAGGGTGAACCCTGGGGCAAGAATCAAAGGAAACGAACGTGGAGAATCACATCGTCTTTTACTGGGCAGAGTTGAGAATGCCACATTAAAAGAATAAAAAACTGTTACAATAATAAGAGAATTACTCGTCTCCTTTTCCCGTTCAATTCTCTTTTTATATTCTTTTTCATACGTATCTTCCATTGCGGCAGAGCCAATTAGCTCCCCGTGCACCCTCAGGGGGTCAGGAGTGCCGTACGTACAGAGTGCTCTGTAGAGTCAAACAAGTCAAGGACCTCGGAATTATAGAGGCTAGAATCAAGAAACAGCGTTGTAATGATTATACACGTTAATCAGAGTGAGACCGACATGTGCTACTTTTCTGCTCCGTACAAGTATACTCTTGACTCTCCGTATGCAGAGTGCACCACAAAGCAAAACATCCATGACATGTGGCTTCTGATCTATCCTTTACCATGTCCAGGCATGCACAAGTACTCGCACATGATTCGTGTTATATTTCTTTTTCAGACCTGGCTCGACTCTCGCCACCGCAGTATATTCGATCAAGCCCTCCGGATATCACCCGGAGACCCTGTATAGAACACGCATAGAACAAACTTACCCGGAGCAATGGAGTCCACTAATTTAGACTCCCCCGAAAAGGCTGGACGATAGGCGTTCAACGGTTGGGACCGGTTTAAAACCGACAGATCTGTTTTTGTTCTCGTTCGCCAGGGATGCAGTATGAATGCGACTGTCTTGATCAGAATCCTTTATTGGCAGACACCCGAACCGTCCATGTGTCTTTTGGACGTGTACTCTGGAATTCTTGGCTTGATTCTGGCTGGATTCTGGCTCGAATTTTAGATCTGCCCCCTAATCCGGGCCGATCTCTTATGGAGTTTTCCGTGGGATCGGAAATGGACGGTGAACGGTTTCCGGGATATCGGTATTGCTATTAATATTGCTTCTTTTGGGCATGCTGTGCGGTCATGGTCGTTAGTAGCACTTGATATACGTCTGGTTTGGATGGTTTGGAATGGTGGAATTGAAACACCTTGTTTCAATAGTTTTTTTTTTTTTTTTTTTTTTTTTTTTTTTTTCTTTTCTTTTTTGTACTGCGTCTAGAGTTCTGGCGTGGGATCTATCCACGCCTGAGTCGCGCAACGACCACAAATATACATGTCCGGAAAGGATCCCTATCTCTCTCTCTTATCCAGAGTCAGCTTAGTACAGGTAGTCTACCTATCTCCGAGCAATCATGGCGTGTTCTGCCTATCCCAGCATGCCAGTGTCCGATGAAACGGCCGATTTCCGAGATATTCCCCGCATCTCTATCACAATCTGACGCCTCCCACTTCTCTCTTCGGACTACGCATGTTTTCAATAGACATACACCATGGCATCCTTACTCAAGAAACCGTTGAAGCTCGCCCTCGTGCAGCTGGCCTCAGGTACGTTCTCTCTACACCCACCCTCTCAGCACACTAACAAAACCGGTACAGGCGCCGACAAAACGGCCAACCTCTCCAACGCCCGCACCAAAGTCCTCGAAGCCGCCAAAGCAGGCGCATCACTAATCGTCCTCCCAGAATGCTTCAACTCACCCTACGGCACATCATACTTCCCCAAATACGCCGAAACCCTTCTCCCCTCCCCGCCCACAAAGGAACAATCCCCCTCCTTCCACTCGCTCTCGTCCATCGCCGCAGAGGCTAAAGCGTACCTTGTGGGCGGGAGTATTCCTGAACTCGACGCGACCACGAAAAAATACTACAATACCTCGCTTGTGTTCTCGCCGAGCGGGTCGTTGATCGGGACGCATCGCAAGACGCATCTGTTTGATATCGACATCCCCGGCAAGATCACGTTCAAGGAAAGTGAGGTGCTCTCGCCAGGAAACCAGTTGACTGTCATCGATCTCCCGGAGTATGGAAAGATCGGATTGTCTATCTGCTACGACATCCGCTTCCCTGAAGCAGCCATGATCGCTGCCCGCAAGGGTGCCTTCCTGCTCGTCTACCCTGGTGCTTTCAACCTGACTACCGGTCCCTTGCACTGGTCGTTGCTTGCGCGCGCGCGCGCGGTCGATAACCAGGTGTATGTGGCTATGTGCAGTCCGGCGCGGGATATGAGTTCTACGTACCATGCATACGGACATAGTTTGGTTGCGAACCCCAGTGCGCAGCTTCTAAGCGAAGCGGAGGAGAGTGAGAACATTGTTTATGCGGATTTGGATAATGAGACGCTGGAGGGGACGAGGAAGGGGATTCCGATTTATACGCAGCGGCGATTTGACTTGTATCCGGATGTTAGTGGTGAGAAGGCTTAGGTTGGGTTTGTAATGCGGAAGAGTACGAGACTGACCTGGTGCCCATTGGCCTACTGTCAGTTACTTAAGTAGGAGTGAATACCATTTCTCATCGTACGAAAATATACATTTTCCTGCAACAGTGAATCGAACGTCATATACACAGTAACTAGTGACTGCTTTTCTATCCTCGATTGCCCTTGTATCCTGGCTCGCTCGATATATATCTAATCACAACATTCGGCTTCGAGCAGCGGAAACGCGCCCTAGCCTGCTATTTATTGTTTGGGAGACACTTGACATCCATCGATTAGGGTCATCTCTTTTGTCAGACATGTTGGCTCTTAGAGAGCCTACAGTGACCTGAGACCAAGACTTATTCGATATCACAGACCCACATGCGTAGTCCCTGTTTCCGTGCTGCCCTTGGAGGTAACCTGATCCGGGAATTGAAAAAGTGGATAGCAACGCCGTTGCAGAAACCTTTTGGCAGGAGACATGCCAAACACCATGCACCTACCTATCAAAGCTGGCTTATGGAGAATGTCGGTCACAATTTGGACGACCTGGTTAACAATGGCCCGGACAGCCTCGGATTAGCTCTCTCTCTGCGATACACAACGCGATAATCTGGACCACACGCAGTCTCGTGGGAGGTAGGGAGGGAGGAATCGGCATTATCGTTTCCATCAGAGAGACTCGCAAGGAATACAAGCCCAGAGAAAAGCTGTGACATTGTCCTAAAAGAGTTACCGACTCCACATGAGACGCGGTAGTTTAATCCAGCTCCAAGGTAGAGGGGATGACTTCTGACTTGCCAACAGAAGAAGCATGGTTCGCTAACTATATGGCAAAACATGGCATGGCATGATAGCTGATTCCAGTGCAATCTTGCTCTTTTCGTGGGTTTCTCGAATGTCGCAGTTATGGGTACTCCAGTCAGGATGGTATTAGGTTTGGAACTATATGGGCAATACTAAATAAGCATTGGTAGACCTGCTCTGCTGCGTAATGGACCATCGCGAGACAGAGACACTACATTATGGGAATATACATATCTAGTAAACAGATCCCGTCGATTATTGCAATAGTAGTATGGAACGTAGGTAGTATAGTATTGACTCTGATTTGTTTCTAAACTTAAGCACTGACACGAATAGCTTACCCTAGTATAGTGAAGTAAGATGTGCTTGAATTGCTGATCATGTACGCAGAAAGATGAGATGGAACTACTGTTACAAGATAACATATCCGCTTCAACATCCCATAGAATGGTCAAATACTATATATGTTGCGATACGGATCGAGAGTACGAGAACGTCCCTTTTGCAGGTTAGCCTAAAAACCTATTCTCGGGCTAACCTGGGAAAGGGCCATGTTCGGTTTTCGCAATCGATATTTCCCAACACACATCTATTATCCAATCCGTTTTGTTGTAAACACACCATATGTTATATTTTTAACCTCGATAGCTAGTCTCGCACATATTACCAGACTTTACCGGACCATTGCTCGTCATGAATATCCATCCAAATTGAAACTGGCGAGGGCGACATACGCAAAATCACATGCCCACTGAGATTCCGGAACGGAATGTACGAAGGGCGAAGCGGACTCGCCTATCTAGTAGCTAAACTAATTTTATCATACATGCTGAAGCTCCCAGATAAGAGCTGGCCTTGAATTCTTGGGCCGCAACACGGCAATACATATTCTATGGCGGAAGGGGACGAAGGAAAACGGGTAGGAGAAAGAGGTTGAAAAGTTTTCAAAGTAGGGAATAATGTGCTAGGCATACTGTGTGGTAAAAGTGAGACCACTGCAGCCATTTATGGAAGTCTCTTGTTCCTGACTGCGACCGCAGGATCTCATCCACCTGCTGGTTTCCCCAAGGATGTGGGGATGCCTTGTGGCCCTTTCGGCAGTAGTAGTGATAAGGGGTCTTAAAACTCCCGCATGAACATTTTAACTTGGCATCTTCGTGCCCAAAACGCTCATGGTATTCGGCAAAATCTCTATGACCCGCCCGGGTGGCTAGAAGTCGGCCGAGAGTGGCTCTAGAAAGGGATAGTTCATGGGGTTGTTTGACTAGGCCAATGGAGAGATCCTGGTATTGCTGTGGCGCGTTCTCAGTCCAGTATGATTGAAATCGTCACCAAAACTCCTCCAAAGTTCGGCAGGCCCAGACATATCTCGCAGGAGGGGTGGTCTGCGGGGTAGATTTAGCTCCTCTTTTTGCTTGTTCACCAGCATTCTCGTTCCCTGCAATGCCTGCATGTCCAGGGATCCAGTAGACATACACCTGTCTGGGTGGGATTGCTGTGCATCGAGGGGACCAGTTGGGCCAGGCACTTGCGGCTTCTTGGCAGGCCAGTGTGGTGCTCTGGCTGGAGCCCCTGGGACAGCCCGCAGCTGCCATGCTACTCCCTGGTTGTCAAGGAGGATGTATAGGTTCTGAGCAAAGGGTGCCTGGATGCTATTAAGAGCAACCTTCAGCCCCTCAGTTGCTACGGTTGCCTCTGCATCAAAGACTTCGCGTTGTGGGACGGAGAGATGGCCGCGAGCAGACTCTTTCTTCCATATGCCCCGATATTCAAACCAACCAGCGCCAGCCGCAGACTGAATTATTCAAGCGGCTGCCGTCCGTGAAAAAAAAAACATGGAGAGTGGGCGGGCATGAGTCTGCCCAGTACTGAAATTCTGCGCCAGCCCTGTCTCGGGTAGAGCAGGTATTTCGGAAAGTATTGAAATTTTCTGGCTGCCAACGGGAATAGACCAGAGGGTCAGTCTGTTCTATCTTCTCCAACCACGGCAGATGATTGCGGGTTAGGCGTGTATTTAGTAGGGAGGATTGTGTTCGAAGTGAGCGTCTGAGAATTGGGTGGCGGTTGTCCAGCCTGGAAGCACGCAGTTTGGCAGCAACGCGTTTCTGATCTAGGATGATCTCCATAAGGGGGATTGCAGTTTCCTGATGGAGAACTGGGACAGGGCTGGAGCGTATGCTGGGAGAGTACGCCGGAGGGCTTCTCTGAGCACCTGGCCAAGGCACAATAGGGCGGAATCAACTCGGTTTTATATACATGTCTGGTTCCGGGGCCTGCGCCGGCCTGGCCACCAGGCCTCAGCCCCATAGCAGAGAACTGAGATGACACGCAGCTGCGGCTTGGCAAGAACAGACTACTTCGTACATAGCTTAAGCGAGGGCGGTATAACCACGTGACGCAATACTGATCACGTGTATTCCACCAATCAGCGGAGCCGGGCGGATAAGCGAGCCACACTGAATTTCGACATCAAAAATCATCCGGAAATTCCCATCCTCGAAAGTCGACCACTTCGCCAACGACAGCCGACAACCTCGTCAACCCCATTCAGTCAGTATACAGATATTATTATTCCGTCTCTTCTCGCTCAGGCTGACAGTTTATTTTCACCAGAAATGTCCAACGTCCAGACCCAGAAGAAGCAGCGCTCGGCCATTGCCGACGTTGTCACCCGCGAGTACACCATCAACCTGCACAAGAGAGTACGTTGAATAAGTCCTATCTACATTTGTCGATTGTTTTAGCGAAATCGACCAAAAACCCTGCGAATTTCTCGATACCGGAGGTATGGACGGAGAACACAAACTGGGAGAGCTGCTCGATTTGGGACAACCGATGGGGAATACCAATTCGAGGAAGGCATATCATACCAGAGAAGGAAAACAAAGCAGAGCAGAGCAGGCCAGGAAACTGGCTGCAATGTGATGCGCAACAAAAAAAGAAGAATTAGTTTTATGAAGTCCACCTCTATGGCCGATCGCAGAATACACATTCATGGCATTCGGGCGGAAGACTGATTTCTCTTTTTTTGCGACTTATAGTGCCACGGTGTTACCTTCAAGAAGCGCGCTCCCCGCGCTATCAAGGAGATCCGCACCTTCGCTGAGCACTCCATGGTAAGACTTTTCCCTTCACTTTCTGCCAAGGAGGTTGACAACTAACCGTTCTACTCTCCACAGGGCACCAAGGACGTCCGTCTTGACCCCCAGCTCAACAAGAAGGTCTGGGAGTGCGGTATCAAGGGTGTTCCCTTCCGTCTCCGTGTCCGCATCTCGCGTAAGCGTAACGACGAGGAGGGCGCCAAGGAGAAGCTCTACTCTTACGTCCAGGCCGTCAACGTCAAGGAGCCCAAGGGTCTTCACACCACTGTTGTCGACGACGAGTAAATTAATTGACAATGAATGGACATGAAAAAAGTTTTTCTTCCTTTTCTTGTTCGTCCTGGACTTGAATAATGGGGTTTGTTGTGGCCGGTCCGGGTCTGGCGGATTTCTCGTTCGGATGGATGTACTAGATACCATTGACAAGAAAATTTGAAATGCACAGATCTTGTCCGAGTGGACATTTTCCCAGGGCATTTGGTCGAAAGAATCTTGATACCCATATTGCTTCTTTGTTATGAGCTCTCCAGTAGGCATATTGTAGTTTCGCGGTTTATAAGTGTTATCACCTGGGTCATTCACTAAAGCTATGTTACTGGTATACGCTGAGTGACCAGGTTCTTTTGCAAATATGCTCTCGACGAGATCAACACTTAGCATGTAAAACAGACAGGGAGTCCTTTTCGCTTGGTCTTTCAGTACATGCTTCACGCCGGAATGTGCACTCACCTTCTGATGCTGTTGTTCCAAGATCTTGTAGGGCAGATCTTGTTATCCATAAAAGAGTTAGGTTACAGATTGTAAGCAGGTTCCGTCTGCTCTCTTACTCTTCGACGTTACTATTAAAACTTTTCAGTGGCCAGATGCATTGTTCAAGTAGGTTATTCGACATCCCCCAATCGAAATTCTGGGCCAAAGTGCCGGTTTACAAGATCAACTCTACTGATGCTGCTGGGCCCTGCCTTGTAAGTGTCTTATGTATGTTTCCGTACGACTTTCAGCTAACGATTTCATATCAATGACATGCTGAATGACTAGAATGACCAAGGGGCACGATCTTGGCGACTGTCGAAATGTACATAGAAACGGATTCATCATCATTGATATCCGAGCTCAATATCATGCTGATAGTCGCCGTCAAATTCCAGCGTCAACAATGGCAGAGGGGTTATGCTCATAAAGACCAGCACCAGCCCTGCATCCTTGCCGGTGAAATATCGAAGTTTGTAACTCTAGTTCTTTTAGTTAGCACAGTATATCAACCGAATACAGGCGCAGCGCCGACATGCCAGTGGATGCGTTCACCAACCCGGGAAGGAAGTGCCGTTCAACTCAATTCTACGAATCCACCAAGCGTTCCAGACGCTGTCAAAACGTTTCGGACTGGACTGTGGACGCCAGAGCAGTCCGTCGTAGTCGTGGTTTCCCATAGGAACCGGTGCTACAGATGATTATAACTGATCCCCTTGGGAGTATTCATTGTTTTCCCTAGAAAAGAAAATTTGGCAAAATCCTGCCCTAAAAGTTCGGTGTTGTCTTTGGAGGGTCACTTTTTCCCATTGTTTCCCTTGTGCTGCAGGCATAGGTGAGTTATGACAGCGTTCTATGCCTTTTGAGGCTGTATACTATTGGAGATTCATCTAAACCTCGACTTCGAAAAACCGGCAAGACCCCAGGAGTTTACGCATCTCCTCGGCAAAGCAATGTGCATAAGCAAAGAAATATCTGATTACTGGGAATATCAAGAGGCATGCATAATCAGAATCTATGAAATCGATGTTAGACTACTATCTCTATTTGCCGTGAAGAGCCCAATGCCAACAAAAGTTTTTGAGCAATTGCTCATGGACGAAGAATACCTGGCACATTGGAGCTTGAGCTCGTGCACACTGCCAAAACCCGAAAATTGGAAGGAATTGAAGGAAATGTTGGTGAGGAACTTGGTTGATTGCATGGAGAAAGACTATGATGACTTCGTCGAGAAAGCCGATGCGATGCAGCCCTTGGCGAGAAGATTATCAGTGAAGATTATCAGTTAGCTTCTTTCCGTTGATCCTAGGAAACGATCTAGTACAGCACGAATAACGACTTACTATGTTTCAAGAGCCTACGGTTAATTATTGAGAGAATTATTAAACAAGTAATCTAAATGCATTCTCAAAGAAATAAAAAATGCCACATCGCTATGCTAAACTAATTGCGCCTTTCTGAACTTAACAACTACACAACAAAACAAAAACGACGATGCTCAACAAAGCATACATGCTGCAAGCGCCAATGTGCAACATAATCAGGTAAATACATACAAAGACAGAAGTAGGTGGGGTATGTCTCGAGAGCTGTGAAGTCGGCCGTTCCAAGAAGGTGAGGTAGGGAAAAAGTATAAAGAAACGAGACGAGGCAGCGATACCCAAGGTCGAATTAAACAAAGAAGTGTAGGAAGACATGGTCCAGAAAAGAATCTCAATGGTCAGGGTTACACGTGAAATAGAAAAAGAAGCGATGGAGGTGTCAATGATGAAAGGAAGTCGTTGACGAAAAGAAGGAACAGATCGGAAAGCGGGTCTGTCCTCGTTAGAATGAAGAGCATTCATACTGCATCACATAAGGTGTTCGAAAACAAACGCAACAGACTTAAGCCTTGGCCTCTTCCATAGTAGATCCAAGACGTCCAATGTCCTCTTTCTTCGTCCGAATAGCCCACTGCTCGAGACTTCCATCAGGCTGAGGAACGGGAAAGAACACACCAGTTCCATTGACGGTGTACTTGAGGTCCTTCATCAACGAAGCATTCAGAAGTACCTTACCACTAGGATCAGCGCGAAGAACCACACGGGAACGAGAAGTTTCCCGGTTCTTCAGAATCTTAACGAATCCAACACCTTGGCTGTCCCATCCCTCCTTGGCCATCTTCAATCCACGAGCACGAGTTTCCATGAGCACCTCCTCGTTCTCTTCGCCTGCGCCACCGCGAGCCAGGTCAACCTGGGGCAGAGCTTCTGCTGCTTCGCCATCACCGGACTCGCCGGCTCCGGCATCAGAAGTCCCTGGCGTTGAAGCAGCGCTGGTTGCGGTGGAATTAGGTGCAGAGGAAAAGATAGAAGAAGTCTGAGTTGAAGGAGCGCCGAATGTAAATCCAAGTGACGGTTTCGAATCACCAGCTGTTGGCTTCGGCGCAGGTGGTGCCCCAAACAGGGTAGAGAATGGCTTTGGGGTTTCGGACGAAGTGGAGTCCGGCTTCGAGGTGGAGCTCGAGTCCGATGCAAACTTGATAGGAGAGTCTTTCTTCCATGTCTGGTCATTCTTGACACCGTTCTGGCCTGCGCCAAAGAGAGATCCGGTACCAGCTGTCGAGGTGCCGAACAGGCTCCCACCAGTGGCGTTTTTGGACGCACCGAAGATACTGGTAGAGCCGCTAGTAGACGTAGTGGGTGCGAAAAGGCTTGGATTTCCACTTGACGACGCTGCAGGCTTCGGGGTGCTGAACAACGAACTAAATGGGTTCTTCGGAGTAGCCTCATTCTTTTCGTCCTGAACACTGCCAAACAGGCTGCCGCCAGCGGGTTTCGCTGGAGTAGACTCACTGGTGCTTTCCGTGGCCGAGGCAGGCTTGTCAGTGGCCTTGGACTTCTTGAGAGCCTTACCAAAGTCACCATCTTCACTATCGTTGGACCCGTCATCTTTGCTGGCAGTGGCGGCCTTAGGCCCTGGGCCCTCATCCTCATTATCTGAGGCTTCCTCAGTAACATCGCCATCGTTCTCTTCAACCTCCGTAGGAGTGGCAGACAAGTGACTAAAAATGTTACTGGGTTTTTCTTCGGTCTCACTCTTTGTGTCAAAGACTGATGTAGTAGAGCTGGCGAAAGAAACGCCGTTCGTCTCATCGGACTTCTTGGAGTCTTGAGTGTTGGTGCTGACATCCTCGTCGAAGGAAAATCCCTGTCCAGGAATGAACTTAGCCCGCCTCTGCGATTGGGCTTCGAGCTCCTCCCGCTTCTTGCGTTGTTTCTCAGCATCCTTGCGCTCCCACTCAGCCTCGTCTTCTTCTTCCGAGTCAAAATCTTCTTCTTTCCTCTTGGCCTTCTCCTTTTCGGCGTGGCTTTCCGCTTGGGTCTTGAATTGCGCAAAGAAATTCGTGCCACTGCCACCACTGAACTTTGGCATCGAGAACGACGGGGCAGCCGCCGGCTCTGCACTCTTATTCTCCGTTGGCTTCAGTGTGAAAGGATTTGCAGGGGTAGCATCATTCTTTGGTGCTTCAGAGGCGGGCTTCGATGCGGATGAAGGCTGACCAAAGAGCGAGGTAGGAGCAGAAGGCTCCTTCGACACAGCGGGGCCGGGGAAGAGAGTCTTTGCGGGAGATGTGGTCGGGGTAGTCGAAACCGGAGCCACCTTCTTAGACTCAGGGGTGGACGGCTTGAAGGGAGAAGAAACGGGCGACTGGGAAGGTTCTTCCTTATCAGAATCGACCGACTTGGAGTTAGAGAAGGTCTGGGCGAAGATGCTCGCAGTAGTAGAATCGCCCTGCGAGCGTTTTGCCGAAGGAGGCTCAGAGACGCCGCCATCTTCATCGTCTGCTTTCCTCTTACTGGGACTGGGTTTAGCAGTCTCACTCGCACCAAACAGGTTAGAGGTACTGGTGAGAGAGCTCGGTGCGATGTTCATCTGCGGCACTGACGAAGATGCGGCTTCGCCAAAAGGCTTCACCTTCTTCTGAGCCGGAACACCCTGATCACCGTCTCCATCCCAAGTCTTGCGCTTAGGGGCATGTTCCCCACCAGTAGGGGCCCCGATCGTATCACGAACGCGCATATAGTATAAGATAACGAGATCGAAGTCATCCTTTGACGGATCAAGTTTTGTTATCTCGCGCTTAAAGGACTCATTCAGGATGCGGACCCGGTTCAGTAGCTCGACATCATCTTTCAGATGCTTGTTGAGGTCAACCGACAGCCCCTTGGGCTGCATCGTTTCGAGATGCTGAGAGGCCGGCGTGGGAGCCGCAGCGGGAGGTGGCTGGAAAAGAGAAGTAGACGGTTGGAAAACGCTTGGAGGCTTGGCCGTACCCGCAGCAGGTGTAGAAGCCGAGAAAGAAGGTGTGGAGGTGGTAGGGTTTGCCGGCTCGCTTGGCTTGGGAGAAAAGAGGCCGCCGCCAAAGGAGGGTTGGGCTGCAGGTTGCTGTTTTCTCTCTTCCGGATTGATTTCAGAAGCTGGCTTGGGCGCAAAAATACCGCCAAATGGGTTGGCCGTAGGTGCTTTCTCTTCTGTGGAAGCTGGTGGCTTAG